CCGATGATGAAGAGCTACAATGTAGCCACAGCTGCCCTGGGGCGCACTGACAGAGGCGAGGCTGCAGAGCACTGGTGCCACCACCACCAGCAGCGCCACCGGTTCCTCTGACCACCACCAGCGGGTGAGGTGGGTTAAGTGTCATGCCCAAGGACAAGGATTTGGGGAACCTCCAAATCATTCTGAGCTGCAAGCTGCATTAGAGTGCGAACAGATGTCATGTCTGCCGTTGGAGAAAATGTTTCTTCGTAATTTACCCCGGCTACCTTTTGCAACATATCTTGCATTATATGTCTCAGTCCCATCAGCATTTTCTTTGATGGCATCTTCCCCCTACTGTGGATTTACCCACTGGTGAAGTGGTTAGTTCGGACGCTTTGTTTCTCTCTTAGGGTAACGCCTGGCATCCTGGCTGTCATTCTGAGTACCTGTCTAACAGGTATGTGACTGTTGAGGTTGGTGGGATGCTCCCCTGAAATATGGGGTCCCACAGGGCTCTGTGCTTGAATGGGCCTGCTCCTAGTTATTTATCTGAACTCCTCGTGCCGTATGTTCCATCTCGTGGGTTGCATTTGGCTGACCAGCGTAGGTTGAGTGTTCCTAGGGCAAGGCTACAGAAGAGGTTTTAGATCTTTCTCTGTGGCATATGTTGCCCATCTCCATTAGACAGCCGTCACCTGTTGCTGTTTTGAAAAAGTTACTGAAAACTAACTCAACAGCTTTTACTATTCCTAGTTGACTAGGTAGTCCTGTTTTTTATCATTTCTTATGTCTGATTTGTTTTGTGTTTTTACTTGACTGCGTTTATGTTTTTGTACATCTACGTTCAGCACTTTGTTGCATTTACATGTGCTGTACAAATAAACGTGATTAAGTGCTGGTTTCTAAACCCGAGACCTCAATCTCTGGCTCGAGTCATCTCAGGACTACAACGCTGTGGTGTAAAAGCGGCTAGATGGACTACTTCTCTTTTTCGATGGCACCATCTAGTGGCTGACAAGCATATCACACAAAAGTCCATCCGCGACTTCACGTTTCTGGTTATAAACGTGCTTCTGTAGCCGCCAAACGGAGCTAAAACGCATTGTTTACGAGTATTATTCTCATGTCATGTTGTGTTCTCATATGTTTATATTTTAGAGACTTTCTTGTCCGTGAAAAATTCACCAACTCTGCATCAGCAGAGGTTTTCCTTACATGTGAAGCATCTAAGCAGCAGTCAAACGCTATTGGTTAGTTTTGGTCGGAGCTCAGTGTCCTATTGGTCGGAGCTCTGCGGGGCAGGGGCGTGCTTGGCAAATAAAGAGACGCATTGCTTACATGATGTCACAGTTAAGATAATCTTTTAGGGTTTTCTGAAATCCATCCGTCATTTCTGAAAGGGGAAAACTCTGGAAAGATGCTTTAAAAAGGGGGACAGCTCTCTTCCCATATTCATCACCTCTACATTAACGGTCGGTTATGGTTTTAGTCTTAGAGCTGGTCTGAGCCAGAAGATGTTCTAACAACGGTTATAAAATAAACTTAGTAGAAATGAGTCCTGATCCTGTACGATCTGCTGCTGGAACGTGTCGGCAGTGAACCAACATCCCAGCAGCTGGAAAATTTAGTGGTGTTGGTGCAATACCACCTCAGAACACCAGAGTTCTCCAGAGTGTTGCATAGTCCACCTTTAATTTCCTCTTGTATGCGTAAAATGACTCAGCCGGGCGTACACTGTGCGACTTTTTCACTTTTTTGAGCCGATTTTCCACTCGTGCGAGAAGCCACGACATTGGGGCGAGTTTTACGCCGAGCGGTCGTGTAGTGTACAGGGGGTTACGAGAGGCGATTAACACCACGTGACCAGCCGCCGATCAGCAGTCGTGAGGTCGCAGGGACTTCTGGTGTGTTTAATATTTCGCTCGTCCCTCGTGAGGGTATCGCACTGTTGAAGCGGCGCTGCAAGCAGCTACGATCCAAAAAGTATCAGAACCGCTCACGGCGCATGCGCGCGCACAGGGGCGTGTCCAGGGAGTGGCCTGGGGTGGCACATGCCACCCTTAGAATCTGATTGGCCACCCCGGGTGCCACCCCGCTAAGTTCCAGTTTAAATTGACTTTACATTGTCGACAAAAGGCTTGGGTTGTAAACTCCAAAAATAGTGTGTGGTAGCATGCACCTTTAACATCGTCTTCTAGCCCAGGCCTACAGAACATTTCTGTAGTAGTAATATTATTTATTATTTTTTCATATTCACATAAATAGTATTTAGAGTCTCACTCATCTCCAGTTGGTGGCAGTAATGCAACAAGAAGTGACTTGCTAACCACCACAAAACTAGAAGATAAATAGAAAAAAATGGTGATTGTGAAATGTGAAACTCCAAAATTCACTAGAAAGTAAATAAACGATTTGTGTAAATAAATAAATAAGCATAACCATTGGTGCCACCCAAGCATAAACAAGTGCCCCACATGGGCCACCCCATTTTAAAAGTCCTGGACACGGCTCTGCGCGCGCAATCCTGCATCAACGCCGGTCGCTCGCTATTTCCCTAATAACACACGCTGTTCGTTTTTGTTTCTACACGTTTTTTTTTACTCACAAAGATTGTCAAGAAAGCGTGTTTGTCGTGTTCATGTCAAATTAAACTGATCACAAAACACAGATTCACTTTCTTTATTTCGTTTTCCTCATCCAACCCCCATAAATCCCTGCGTGTCCTCCTGCAGCACTCCTGAAGGACAACAGGCAAGACAAAAAAGTCTGACGTGTTGAGTAAAAACTGCTATTTTTAGCAAATTTTTAGGGCCGACGTGTTGCTACCAGACGTACATGTGAGCAGTCAGGTCGCATGCGAGAACTGGGTCGTACAGTGTGAGCGCATGGCTCGTGAGATCTGCTCTGCGAGGAAGTCGTACAGTTTGAGCTGAAGCTGAACGCTGCGAGTGAAAAAGTCGCACAGTGTACGCCCGGCTCTTAGCACTAGAAGTCCCAGGAATGTCATCATCCCCCCTGAAGTCCTGAAGCAGGGTCAAAAGACCCTTAGTCCACACTGATGCCTCTGATAGCTCCAATTTGCATCCCTTCATTTGTAAATGTGGCCATTGTAGGAGGGATGTCCACACGGACAAGTTTGGCATCAAGTTTTGGGTGGCTTGCGACTTGAAATCAAAGAACATCTGCAATGTCCTCCCATATCTTGGCAAGGACCCTAGTCGTCCCAGTGGGGAGAGACTAGTGTAGTGATGAGGTAATGGAACCATTCATGGACAAGGGCAGAACTGTAACCACAGACAATTTCTTTACATCACTGTCACTTGCACAACGACTGCTTAGCCGGAAAACCACTATCCTCGGCACAGTCAACAAAAGTCGCCAGGAAATTCTTCAATCCGCTACACAGATGGACTGCACTGAATTCACCACTCAGGTGTTTTCAACCACTGGTGCCACACTGACAGTGTATGCGCCCAAACGGAAGAAGGCTGTATACATTCTCAGCAGCTTGCACAGCAAGGTTGAGACTGAAGATACCACCAAAAGGAAGCCAAACACAGTCACACAATATAACAGCACAAAGTGCGGTGTGGATGTGATGGACCAAATGGTGCGGGAGTACAGTGTGTGTGTGTGCAGGAACATGGAGATGGCCAGTCGCCATGTTCTACAACATGATTGACATGGCAGCACTGAATGCACATGTGCTTTATCAGGCATGCATTGGGGTGCAGGAGAGACGGGTGAACTTCCTGGTTGAGCTTGCAAAAGAGTTGGGTGACAGTCATGTGAGTGAGAAGAAGGCACGCAAGGAGAAACTGCTTCGGCAAAAACCTTCCACACCCAGCCCTGGCAAAAGGGCAAAGTGTCAGGTCAACCATCGTTTCACAAACAATTGTGCAACTGTGAGATGTGTTGACTGCTACAAATATACATGTGGCAAATGTACCAGAGTCATACCCTGGCAGTGCCAGGTACGTTCCGACAGTGCAGACTGATGCACTCTCTCTCTCACACACACACACACACACACTGCAGCTTAGTGTAAATATGTGTGAAATTGTTTTATTCCTTGTATTTTTTGTATCATTTTTATGACAAAAATAAAAAGCGTGGAAACAAATAACAGTTGTTCTTTTGTATATTTCTCATGCTGAAATTTCAGTCCTCTTGACTTAGACACAAATGGTCTTTGCTCACAGCTGGACCTGGAAAACCTTATTTACAAAAAAAAAGTGGCTGTTCACAACTCATTATACAATGTTAGCTAAAAGCCTCCAGGTCACTCGACCCATCTCTGGGTTCCAAAGGTAGGAATGTTAAATGACCCTTCTCTGGGACTTCTAGTGCTAAGCAGCAGTCAAACGCTATTGGTTAGTTTTGGTCGGAGCTCTGCAGGGCAGGGGGCGTGCTTAGCAAATAAAGAGACGTATTGCTTACATGATGTCACAGTTAAGACAATCTCTTTCAGGGTTTTCTGAAAGCCATCCATCATTTCTGAAAGGGGAAAACTCTGGAAAGATGCTTTAAAAAGGGGGACAGCTCTCTTCCCATATTCATCACCTCTACATTAACGGTCGGTTATGGTTTTAGTCTTAGAGCTGGTCTGAGCCAGAAGATGTTCGAACAACAGTTATAAAATAAACTTAGTAGAAACGAGTCCTGATCCTGTACGATCTGCTGCTGGAACGTGTCGGCAGTGAACCAACATCCCAGCGGCTGGAGAATTTAGTGGTGTTGGTGCAATACCACCTCAGAACACCAGAGTTCTCCAGAGTGTTCCATAGTCCACCTTTAATTTCCTCTTGTATGCGTTACCTTCTCTAGAGTATGTTGAGTGCCCCTGACCCAGCTACAAGCCAATAAACTGGATATTGATGCAAGAGAAGAGCGGTTGACTGTAGATCCGAAGGTTGCTGGCTCAGTCCCAGCTTCCACCACCACACGTTTCTCCCTGGACCCCCTTAAACACTGTCAAATAGATTTAAAAGCTCCAATGAGAAAATTAAACCACAAGCTAAAGAATCTGATTTTATTATGTTAAAAATGAGGAAATAAAGTGAACAGCTGCTTTCCGCATCATTTGCGTTGAACTACAACGACCAGTCCAAGTAGGAAGGCCAAGGCGTGTGCGCTCTCCGGTCCACGCCTTCGATCCAGGTCTCAGATTTGTGGTCGACCTCTCTGGACCTAAAATAGACAAATAGAAAAGAAGGCAGGGCAATGGCTGCAGGGGAGTGCCTTGTAGATCGGCATCATGGGTTAGCGAGGACACCCGTGTTCTCTGTGGACCAACTGACCTGTAGTGGTACGATAGACCGAGGGCAGAGTACAGCTCAGGAGTGCTGGGGAGTCTTTCCTCAGGAACAGCAGCATTTCCAGACTCCGTGGATGATGGAGTGAAAGGAAGACAGCCGGATATGTTAATGGGCCCCAAAACAGAGTAATCTGTAAATAAAAATACCAAAGTTAAACGCCCTCGGTCCACCTGTGAATGTCTGCATCACATCTTTGGTTTCAGTTTCAGGCTCAGAAGAGAAGCTAGAATCCAGCAGAAAACTTCATGGATGGTTCACGTCCCTGGCTTTGTTTTGGCCAGGACTCTTAACGTTGCCTTTACGCCCATCTTTGGCAAGTTCCAACATGGTATAGCTATAAATATACTGTAGATTTCAAAAAATGTAAGCAAGTGGTTCTCACATTTGTCTACAAACCTCCACCAACAACACGTTTCAGACCAAAACCAGCTAACGGACCAACCGAACCGCTACACTTCCCCTGGTCCTCCACTTATCACCCATTCACGCATTCAGCAGCAGAACACCACCGGTGTGAGAGGTTCTCCGCTCAGTAACAGGAGGAGAAACAGCCGGTTGCTACCGCTTCAGCATTAGGACAAACTAGTCCAAGAAGAAAATCACCATCTGAAGTCACGGACAACAGAAGATGTTTGGACCTAGAAAACGGAGATTGGTGTTTAGCGCCATCTGGTTTCCCCTGGTATCGTGGGTTCTGGTATCGTGGGTTCTGGTATCGGGGGTTTGAGTGTTCTGTAGATTCATTATCGCCAGGGCCACCCAACTAGCCACGCCAGAGAAGACCAGTGTTCGTTAATGAATCATATTAAAGTTCACACAAACTATAAATTCATATTGTTTAATTAGACATAAAAGGGAAAAGGGAAGAATGCCTTCTCCGGGTCAGGGATGAGGTCCTGCCTCAGGTGGAGGAGTTTAAGTATTTCGGGGTCTTGTTCACGAGTGAGGGAAAACTGGAGTGTGAGATCGATAGGCGGATTGGTGCTGCATCTGCAGTGATGCGGGTGTTGTACCGGTCTGTCGTGGTGAAGAGAGAGCTGAGTCAGAAGGCGAAGCTCTCGATTTACCGGTCGATCTACGTTCCTACCCTCACCTATGGTCATGAGCTTTGGGTAGTGACCGAGATCGCAGATACAAGCGGCCAAAATGAGTTTTCTCCGAAGAGTGACTGGGCTCTCCCTTAGAGATAGGGTGAGAAGCTCGGTCATCCGGGTGGGGCTCGGAGTAGACCCGCTGCTCCTCCACATTGAGAGGAGCCAGTTGAGGTGGCTCGGGCATCTGGTCAGGATGCCTCCTGGATGTCTCCCTGGTGAGGTTTTCCAGGCACGTCCAACCGGGAGGAGCCCTAAAGGTAGACCCAGGACACGGTGGAGGGACTATGTCTCTCACCTGGCCAGGGAACGCGCCTTGGGATTCCCCCGGAGGAGCTGGCCCAAGTGGCTGCAGAGAGGGAAGTCTGGACCTCTCACCTTACGCTACTGCCCCCGTGACCCAACTCCGGATAAGCGGATGAAAGTGGATGGATGGATAATAAAAATATGCAATTAAAGGGTAATTAATCAGATTTTAAAAGTATGTTTCTCCTGCTCCACCTTAACAAACAAGCTTAAATCTCTAGGTTTTGTGGATGTTTCTGTAGAAAGTAGTGTGTTGGATTCATGCTGTTTAATGAAAACGCATCACAACAAGCTAAACTCTACCAGAGTTACAGACCAATCTGGTGGGCCACCCACGGACTCTCTACCCCCTCTGAAGTATCTCTGGGGCACCACTGGTGATAGCAGCTGTAGAGCCCTGCACTGAAGCCCTAAGCCCTCGGGTCGGGCTTCGGGCCAGCGACTGTAATTGCCTCAGACACGGGCCGGGTGCCTTTATTTTTAATCAAATTCATACAAAAAAATTGAAACAAACCAGGGGTCGGCAACCTTTTCCCACAGTAAAGAAGACACTGGGAGCCACAGCAGCCGCGGCGTTGTGGGCGGGGCCTACCCTCAAGACAGCAGACTGCTGCTCACAACAGGTGACAGCAGCCGGTACCGGTCGCTCGTGTACGTCAAAATTATCTTACATAAAAAGATAATCAATAAAATGATTTATATAAAATGGATCCAGAAGTTGTAGCCCGTCTCTGCCTACAATATTTTGATATTTTTCACCCTGTTGGTGGTTTTACTGAGCAGGTGTCACTTTTGTCATACGTTTCTTTTTAAAACATGTTTAGACTGTTCAGAATACAAATCCAGGCTCTGTCACGTTTGATTGTTGTAATTAAACTTTGTAGGTGGGAAAGGTCAGAAAAGGATCCGATCAATTTGTTTTTCCCTCGTTTACAGTGATGGAGATAACGGTGCAGTGCGCCTGGCTCTGGTGTTAATCAAGTTTAATTTGATCTATTTTCACAAGAAAACAGAACAGTTAAAAGCAGAGCTTGTGTTGACCAGATAGTTCCCATATTTGACCGGTTATTTTGACGGAGAAAGAATAGAAAGAATTACCCCGACGCATGCAGACAAACTGACATTTTATTCTACGCACATCGCAGATGTAGCTAAATCACTCAAGAAAAGAGTCCCATCTGAACATCTGAGCTGGACACTGCTCAGAGCGGCTCGCTGTCAGTGTGTACTACATAAGGTACACAGCGAGCTGAAGATGTGGAGAGGGGCTTAGAGCGCGTCGCAGAACCAGAGCGCATGCAGGAAGATTCCTCCCACTGAATGCAGTCGGAGGAATCTTCCCGCTGATCTGAATCTGATGCGGCTCTGTGCTTGTAAAATAATGAATGGATATTTAAATAAAATGCTTTATATTTTACTGCATTAATTTTACATCTGTATGCCAATTCTAAATGTAAAGATTGTCTGCGTAAACCTGAACAGCCCCAACCTGCTCTTACTGTGAGACCAGGTTGACGGGTCACGCTTGTGCGTAATCATAGGCGCTTCCTGAGCTGAAGAGGATGTGAGATTCTGGGACTCTCCTCAGACAGGCTCATGGATTCGTCGCCACATTGGAGACAGGAACAAGCACTATTCAGCCAAAGTTTCATAATCAGGGAACATTTTCTAAGTGACAAGTCTCTCTGAGAGACAGGGTTTGGAAAACGCTCGCTTCAGTGGGAGGAACTGTCCCGCATGCGCTCTGGTTCTGCGACGCGCTCCAAGCCCCTCTCCACATCTTCAGCTCGCTGTGGACCTTATGTAGTACACACTGACAGCGAGCTGCTCTGAGCAGTGTCCAGCTCAGATGTTCAGATGGGAATCTTTTCTTGAGTGATTTAGCTACATCTGCGATGTGCGTAGAATAAAATGTCAGTTCGTCTGCATGCGTCGGGGTAATTCTTTCTATTCTTTCTCCGTCAAAAAAAACGGTCAAATACGGGAACTATCCGGTCAACACAACTCAAGCCCTGCTTTTAACTGTTCTGTTTTCTTGTGAAAATTGTTGGAAAGAGATATAATTTAACTTGATTAACACCAGAGCCAGTGCGCCGTTATCTCCATGACGGTAAATGAGGGAAAAACAAATTGATCGGATCCTGCACGTCTTTTAACACATTGGTCAGGATTGACACACTTTGGTTTCGTTTAGTTGGTAAAAAAAAAAAAAAAAAAAAAAAGTCAGGCTCGGGTCGGGCCAGAGAATCCTGAAAACCTTTTCGGACCGGGTCGGGCTGTGGCTCCACCCCCTCGGGCCGGGCCGGACACGGGCTCAGATTTTAGGCCCGTGCAGGGTTTTAAGCAGCTGTACCCGACAGGACTGGTCCTTCCTAAAAACCCACACAAGGTTCTGTAGTTCTGCTTGTATTTGAAAGCAACCTCCTACTTTACTGGACTTTAGTAAATGAAACAGACGAGTGATTCTTCTGAGAGACTGGGGAAATGACTTCCTGTGTCACAACGTTCTCTTCCATCTAGAGGTGCATGTTCTGTCTGGGGCATCTTTAACCTATCAGAAATGATGTTGTCTCCCGCTCTGAAAACAGGAAGTTGTTTAAATCATTAATATTAAATCGTCTTCAAGGTTGGACTTTGATCCAATTCTGCAACAATTATTAAAATGAGCAAAAAAAAAAAGCTTCTCCGGTTCTGATCCGTTTCACTCACTGAAACTGGAGCTCTCTCTTCTGGATGCTCGTTGGCCAAACAGAGGAGAGTCGCACACAAACATCTGCTTCACTAGAGAGGCCTTCTGTCGACCAAAGTCACAGCGCTGCACGCCAAAGAAAAAGTATTCATCATCAGCTCTTCTGCCTGAAGAACTCCAGAGCAGCTCGTTTCCATCTGCAAACCTCACGACTCAGTCTGATGGCAGCATCAGTGAAAGCCTGGCGCTCCTTCTCAAAAGTCCTCCTCTGACGGTCAAACTCTTCCCAGGACATTTGAAGACGCTCCCACTCCTCCAAAAAGTAGGAATCAGACAGCTCAGAGGGAAGAGGCGAGGCCACGCTGTCCTACAGATGGAGACAGACCAGTTTTAATAGAGATGAGTGAGGACTGGATTAGGTTTGAGTAATGAAGTCGTACTTGCAGAAGTTGTTGCTGGAATCTGACCAGCTGCTGACTTTCTGCCAGCTCCGTTTCAAGCTGAACCAGAAGCTTGTAGTGATCGGTTCCCTCAGCAGGTGGACCTGTGCGTGCACACACACACACACACACACACACACACACACACACTGAACTAGGGTGACCCATGTTAATCTTTTCCCCAGACAAGTCCTCTTCACACTGTCTGGGGCATCTGGGGATTCATATATTGATGAAAGAGTTTGTTTTTCAGGAGACCCGTATTTATTCTGGTGCGACGTATACGACCGCCTGGGACATGGCCCGCGAGCCACTGCCCTGTGGGTGTTTTAGTCTTCGCTCAGACGGTTGCTTTTGGTGCTTGGCTGCGTAAAATTGGAGGAAATGTATTTTGTAAGTAGCGCTGCTGTAGTGGGATGCAATCGGCACAGTCCCTGCTGACCTGGCACCTCACAAACGGGACAGAGAGCGGGCACAAGTGTAGTTGCCGATTTTAAAAAATGCCAAAGCAGCAAACAGCGAAACATCCCTCTTACGTCCCAAACGAGAAGAACAGGAGGTGGAGTGTGTCGTGTGGAAATCTAGCACTGTCTGTGTCTGACGAGCTGCCAGAGATCTTGTTGCTCACGCGGACACAGAAAAACATAAAAAGCTGCCGAGGTACGAGTTCATCTCTGTTAACGTGGTCCTTCAGTGCATGAGAAAAACAAGAACGCCGTGTCTGCAGCAGAAGGTGCACTGGCCTTTCATACTGAAGCATCACAACAGTCACAGATCCAGTCAGCACAGGTATGGACCGTAAAGGCATTTCCAGCAGAGCTTCACCCAGACTGAAGCTCCGGTGAGTGTTGTGATGGCGCCTCATTCAGTTGTAGTCATGAAGCTCTTAAAGGGATGCAGCACTGCGGCGTTTTTACGGACGGGAGGAACCGTGGAGCAGAGAAATATTCCCAGTCATGATCCAGTACCCTGGCTGGAAGCAGGGCGGTGTGCCAACAAAAACGATTCAAGTTAAAAAACACGCTAATGAAAGGAAGCGTGTGGGCGGGGCCACGCCAATGAAAAGAGGCGTGTTTAAAATTATTACGTGTTAAACTGCATCTCTGTGGACGTTGCAAAATTACACAGATGACCAGGTCGGAGACGGCACTGACTCTTTGGGTGTTTCTCAACACCAAGGAACCTCGCCTTGATGTCTCGGCCCCGCCCCGGTTGCCTAGGAGATACGCCATCAAGAACCACCAAGGCGCGTTCCAATGTTCATGTTCTACCGAGGCGTGCGTTCTGTTTGTTAGCCATTTAGCTAGCTGAGCAAGGATACACCGAAAGTGCCTTGTAGCCTAGGCTTGGTCAAAAATTTCCCAGAATACACCGCAGTATTTTCAAAAGGAAGCAGGGGCATGACCTCCATCTTAAAGCCCCTCCCACCCACTGCGTCCCACTGTGGAGACCGTGGACAGCTCCTTCAGAGGCAGACTGAGACATCCCAGAAGTAAACCAGAACGCTGCCGTAGGTCATTCATCCCCTCTGCAGTAAGTGTAGACCTCCTCAGTTTAACTGGTACTGGCATTATCCGGGTACACAATACCACCAACACGGTACTCATTATGTGTTCACTACCAGATGTACATAGTATGTCTGTGTCCCTTACATCATGCTGCACAGTTCTAGAACCCAAGTTCTTCGTTTTTATTCGTGGTTTTTAGAGGTCGAAGGTTCCAATACTAGCTTACTGCCTACGTGTACAAATACACGTATCTTTGTTATTGTTCTCAAATTATTCTCTTAAGTGTTGCTGCTGCCGTAACAAGTGAATCTCCCCACCGTGGGATCAATAACGTCTATTCTATTGTATAAAATATGTTACCTCCCCATCAGGTGACCGCCGCGGACACGAGTCTGTTCCATTTAACAGTTTTCTTTGACCAAGGAAGGACAGTGTCCTCGTAAGCGAGGCACCTCGTCATTGAGAGACCGGCGGTTCGTTACACAAGTCTACAACAGCACAATTCATCCACACCAGCGCCGTTCCCATCACTCCCGCTTCACGGCCGGACCTGGCCCGCAGGTCACCAATTGCTGCTTTAGACTCTTGGGATTTTCTCACTGTAACATTATTACTATATTCTTACATACTACACCTTTAAAAGTGAGTGTTCACCTTCAGAAAGGGCATCTTGGAGCTTCTTCTGCACCGTCCTCCAACTCTGAACGACTCCTCCGGTCACATGTTCACCCAGGGCCGTTTCAGCTTCATTCAGTCTTCTCCGTCCACTGAGGTCCATATCCGTCGACTCTAAGAACTTAGAAATCAACAAGAGTGAAAGAACGTACATGAGTGCTTTGGAGCTCCTTGTTACGATGATGCAGATTCGTATTTTCTAAGAAAAGTGGCCCTCTGGATGAATTTAGACCAACAAACGTGGACCTGAGTGATGTTCGATGGGAACAGGAAACAGGTGGTGTGAGCCCGGGTTCGCCCAAAAAGTTCGGTTAGATTTTGTGGCCATTTACAAACGGTAGACTGAGAAAAGTAAACGTAGCTGTAGACTTTATAACCCTGATGTTGGTTTTAAAAATAAAACCCTGTGTTTTTATTCATAAAGCACCAAAGTGCTGCACAGTAAGAAAAGCATTCCTGCAGAAGTGGCAGGAGAAACCGACCAGCTGAGTGGAAGGCTAAAGTCCCACAAGGCTGTCTCCTCAGGAGAACATCTAAGGTTTCACAGATTAAGCCTAAACCGTCCCAATCAAGAAGTTTTTATAGAGATGTTCGAAATTCTCCTCCTCCTCCTTCTCAGACACCTGTACTCGTCCCACCTGCTCCATGTCGCCTCGCAGCGCGTGCAGCAGGGTGGTGAGGCTGTGACGTAGCTTCATGGCCTCTCGCAGCTCTGCCTCTCGGCGCTCCAGCATCAGACGCAGAGCTGCCTCCTCTTGTCTGCAAGACGGAGACGGAGAACATTCTCCAGGGTTGGGTTAGGGTTAACCCGAAGAGTGAATCAAGCATTAAATCTGCAGACGACTTACTTTGCATTATGACTGAGGGATCTGCTCGGGCGCTCTCCTTTGGCTCTTCTTCCAGGTAGGAGGTTCAGCACCTCTATGACTGGGATAAAAATCAGGAGACATTCCTTAGGAAGGGTTAAAGACATCAGTGGATTATTCAGTGGATTTCTCACACAGCCCCTTCTCCTTTCTTCTGTCAGTCAGCTGTGACAGCTTCTGCCTCAGCTTGCTGCTGGTCATCTCCTGCTGCTTCAGCTTGGCCTCCTGATGGCTGCACCGCTGCTGCAGACGGGAGCACTGCAGAGAGAAGACCCGCTTCAGACCTGAGCTTCTGCAGGCAGGGATCCCTCTCAGTTTGGGACCACTTACCTTCATCTGCTCAGACCTCAACAGCTGCTGTAACCTGGCAACGTGCTCATCCATCTCCTTGGAGATAAATCTAGTTTTCAGCATTTAAAGCTCTGACCTGGTCCACTTTCATTCATTTACCCACCCCGAGTGCAGCACTTTGGTCCTTGTGCCCCTTTCTGTTAGCCCCCCCCAGATGTTGGAAGTAAGCTCATGAACGGGGCTCGGACCCCTGAGGAGATATGACTCTGCAGAAGAAAGAAGGGAACTTTAAAGTACTTCACGGATGAACCGGCTGTTTTCCTGCATGCATTGCCTGAACCGGCTTTTCAAAAGCTGGCTTCATCAGAGCTGAAAGTCTGACATGTTTGGATTGAGGATCTAACCTGGAGGATCTCGCCGTCGTCCACTTTGGCTCTGGCCAAACCCAGAAGCCATCTGCACTAACGTTCACACCTCAGGAGCCACACCTGCTCTGCCGACGGTTTCCAGGTGAAGCCACTTGTGCTAATCACTGCTACTTGCAGCAGCTGTTGGGAGCTGAACTCTGACCTTTGGTTCAAATAGTCAGAAGCGCCCTTTTTCAGGGACTTGAAGGTCTTTGCTTTCAAATTAAACAACCACCACTTGTTGCCACTGTTGGTTTTATTATTCAAACAAACAAACATGTTGCATTGATCAATAATCAGTTTTGACGGCGTTGGACATTAACACAGGAGGCATAAAACCACATTATAGCATTTAACCAGATTTTCTATCACAGATCAAATTCTTGGCCTGAAATCAAAATAATAATTAACCAAAAATAATTATTTGACCGCCTTTCAGGAAAAATACTGAAAATCCAGTCAGCTGTTGAACGAGTCATAACTGGAATTTACACCCAGCTGAAGAGATAGGTATCATTTATTAAACATTATTATTGGAATTTAAGAGCAAACATTTGTGCAATAGCATGGCATAAACGTGTACATACATATATATATAACTACCTAAATAGAATAAGGCCTTCATGTGTTTTCATCACGTTACAGTTAGTCTGTACCGCATCGTCCTCCACAAACATCTCAGAAACATGAACCAGTTGGCTTCAAACAGCGGTGTGCACATGTGCAGCAGTAGTGTTTTATACAAATGTGTTTTCATGTTAAGATTATTCCTCCAGCTGAAGGTTAAAGCAGCTTAATCATTACAACAGTTAGCGTTGACCCCACCGTCTGCTCCAGAACTCTGGTTCTGGGGAACAGACGGGACTCATGATACCTTAGTTTTGGCAAACAAGTAGACCCCCCACCAGCAGCTCCTCAGGAACCTACAACCACCAGAAGAAAAAGGGAGGACATGATGAACCAATCCAGATTTTCTTCATGTTCCGCCTCCTGTTGGAAAAATGTCAAGAAAGCCTTTGATTTTAGTTCCATTAAACTCATGAATAAGTTCACAAGCAGCCTGAGTTACTGTGGATTTGTATTTACGACGTTATCGGGTCCGCTCACAAAAACAGAATCTTTCCAAATCTCCTTTTTATCCAGTAAATCCATGTATTAGAGCTTATTAATGTGTTTAATTACTCTGATTACATGATTTACTGGTTACTGTGATTACACTGACAAATTCAATTCAAAAATACTTTATTAATCCCAGAGGGAAATTGATTGCTGTAGTAGCTCAGAATAATAATAATAATCAAGTCATCAAAGAGTTGTTGTATATTACAATGGCTGTTGGCAGGAAGGATCTCCAGTAGCGGTCAGTGTTGCAGCGAAACTGAAGAAGCCTCTGACTGAAGACACTCTTCCGTTGTCGGACAAACATTAACATAATTTCTCACTGGTTTCCACCAGTTGGACATCTTTTCCTGATGACAGTCATTATAAGATCATTCACGTGTGACTGAAGACATGGACTCACCTCAGAACAGGGAGCAGGACTTTGGGGGTCTGAAGGGATTATCACTGGAAGGGACCCCCATCAGGAGAGGATCCCGGGAGGCGTTTTGCAAACAGAAGTTTTTGAGATCCGCACAGGCCTGGGACACCTGCAGACAAACATATGGCCTGAGTGTGTGTGTGTGTGTGTGTGTGTGTGTGTGTGTGTGTGTGTGTGTGTGTGTGACCCGTTCACAACCATCTTCTTCTTTTCTTCCCTTTCGACAGAAATAAAACATCGACTTTAACGAAGCAGCGAGGAAAAGCCGCTCCGCTGGAGCAACTCGGACTCTTGTCTAGTTGGTTTCCGCCATTCAACAGGAGTCTTCCGTGTTTGGGCTCCTACCTTGATCCTCCGGACGTTTGCCTCCACCCGGAGCTGCTTTACGGTCCTTTGGGCGATGATAAGGTTACTGTGTGCGTTGTTGTTAGACATCACGGCGATTTTCGGCGATAAAAGTTTCAATTACTTTAAAATTAACGTCCGAAACCAGAGCGGAAATGATTCAAACAGCTCTAAAAAGCAGAACTAAACTGGGAAACGACGCTGACGCCTTTCCCGCCCCATTTGCTAGCAAACAGTTTATTGGCTCACGCGCGTGTCAATCAAACTACTGAACCACGCCCACGAAAGCAACTTTCCTGGAGAGCAAAAAATAAACCAGCACTGTTATTTATTTATTTATTTAACCTTTATTTATCCAGATGAGTGGATCGTTCTCATTTCCAACGAGGATCTGGCCCAGAGGCAGAAGCAACAGACACATAGTTAGCTTTACACCAAAGAACAACAGATGAGATAAAATCAGATAAAACAGTCAGACATAAGGACAAAGGGCTGTTCTCATATGTAACATGTACAAGCAGTCAGAACAGACCTAAACAGTCTTTAATACTCAGAAGCAGGAATATCAATCAGAAACTATTGATCACCATGAATTATTGCAGGTAGATAATGGAATGTAGGTAGTGAGCTTCAGTGGTTTCTGCAGCTCATTCCAGCCGCTGGAAGCAGCAAACTGGAATGAGGAGCGGCCAAAGGAGGTGCGAGTTTTGGGAATAACCGTAGAGATGAAGTTACTGGAACGTAAACGGTGCTGGTTGTTGGAAGTGATGAGCAATGAGAGAAGATACGACAGTTCTAGCGATGATGGTTTTGTATATGAACTGCTACCGATGTAGGAGGCCTCGCCTGAAAATCAGATGAGAGCAGACGGACGCAGCAGGGGGAGTGGCTGAAAGCCAGCGTTTAAGTCGGACAGATTTCCCTACATGTGTGGCTCGCGGGTGACGATGGATGAAGTTATCGTCTTAGAGTTCATACTTGTTTAATTTTTAACTTTCATTTTGGTGCCTGTTGGAAACTGAAACACATCCTCACGTGCTTGAGGATATCATGTATTGTATATGGAGACATGACTAATAATGAGTAAAGGTTATCAGCTGTAGGTTTAGTGTGCTCATAGGAAACGTGACAAAAGAACACAAAACACATTTCTCTTTTTGGCCTAAATAGTCATCATCAACGTAACATGATTTATAGAATGCATGTGACTAACTAACATTTTGTATTCTCCCACCGGATGTTTGGATCAAAATAGAAACCAATCAGATCTTAGATCAAGTGAGAGCCAGGCGTTTCCCGTCACCCCCTTGATTTTGCAGCCGGTGGAGAGCAACTGCAGTGCCTTGCTCCAAAATCTGCAGCTGTCTTGAACTCACGAGGTTATCATTGCCTACTTATGCATGACGTCAGAGCAAGTCGGCGTCAAGTCAGACACAAATCTAACTGGCAAGTAATGCGCACCAATCACCAGTGAGTGATCTAGTCTGCGCAGAACTGGCTCATCTCGAACACGGCCAATGTGAATGTCAGATGAAAGTGTGCTGTCAAGCCAGATACCAGATACTTAAAGGAACTGACAAGTTGTAGTTCTGTACCATCCAGGGCAACAATACTAGGGTGGAAAGCTGATTGTGATAGGTATGGTTGAAGATCATGAACTTTGTTTTACTTGTGTTTAAATAAAGATGAAGGTTGGAGAGGCCATGTGGAAGATGATTACATTTGTGCTGCAAGGAGGACAAAGCTGTGTTAAAGGAAGAACTGCATGAATATAAAATGGTGTCGTCTGCATATGAATGTTTATGAGAACTGTCAACAGCATAAACAATGTTATTAATACAGATTCTGAATAAGGCTTGTCCCAGTATCGACCCTTGAGGAACGCCCATAGACAGAGGTAGAGGAGCAGGTTGGTAACCCACTGTTCTCATTGGCGTACGACCTAAGATATCACTTCTGAACCATGCCACGGATGCCTGAGAAAGTCCTGTATGTTTGGGCCTGCTAAATAAGATGTTGTGGTCTACACTCTACAGAGTCGAAGGCTTTAGTCAAGTCAACAAACACAGCTGCACAATATTCCTTATTGTCAACGGCACATATGATGTCATCTAGCACTTTAAGTGTTGCAGAGACACATCCATGGCCAGTTCTGAAGCCGGGCTGCATGGGGGTAATAATACTGCTGGATTCCAGATACCGAGTTGGCTGTTTGTTGGCTAACTTTTCAATGACTTTAGAGGCAAGGCAGGATGGAGATAGGCCTCCAACAGCTTAGGTCTGGATGATCTCCCCTTTAAAGAGTGGAGTAACAGATGCTAATTTCCAGTCCTGCGGAAATGCACCAGTTTGTATGGACAGATTAAATAGATGGGTAATTGGTGCAGCAGTAACGCATGCTGCTATTTTCAGAAAGAAAGGGTAAAAAGTTTCCAGTCCGGCTGATTTATTAGGATCTAACCTGAGTAACTCGTCAATAATTCTGTAGATTCACTTTTACATTAAAACAAGAATCAGTCACTTCAGAAAGTTATAATTATGGTTTATTACAAATACAGCAAAAATATTTGAGCCTTTATTGGTAATTTTGATGATTATAGAACGGAGAACCAGAAATTCAGTCTCATTAAATTAAAGTATTCCATCAGATAAATGAAAGCAGAAATATTAGACTCCTAAAACTTCCCTTCTATGCACTTGGCTTGGTTGGGCCTCTTTCTGTGGCATGGCTGAGATTTAACAGACACTCGGGGTGCTTTCATAGCAACCTTCTGGTCATCTGCAGTGTTGGCTTAGGTATCTTTCTCTTGACAGGTACTTCAGGTTCAGGTGAGTTTGCTAGCCAATGAAGCAGGGCAAGGGGAAACCGTCTTTGCTGACTGTATTCCCCGCTGCACACGCCACCTCCCACTACTCCCCCACTCGTCCAAGCCTGAGCTAACATCAGAATTTACCCAAAGGCCCTATCAAATACAAGAGCCTAGTCTTAAAAGTAGCAGCATGGTCATTGGCAGTGTGGGCTGCGGCCAAGTCCTGCTGAACGTTTAAAGCAGCATGCATAAGGAACAGAAGTCTCAATGGAATACTTTTGTTTTTGCTCCCATTTTCACGAGCTCAACTCTGAAACAGTTTCTAAATACACAAAAGAGCCATTACTCACTAAGTGTTCACAAATCTGTGTTAGTGAGCATAGCCCACTTCACAGGTGCTGATTAGACAGCATGAATAGTGCATATGTGTACCTTTGACTGACACGCTGAAAAATGCTAAACAAAACTGTTTATATAAAAAACATTGTTATCTCAGATCTGTAATATTGACTTGATAAATCCTCAAGTTTGGAGAATTTTAAACATTTCTAAATGTCCTGTTTGATATAGAAGGTGTTGTCGTTCCACCACCCATTAAAAAGGATCACGGTGGTTTCAGGAAGATATCCTCTTCTAAAGCGGACTGTGAAGTCCCACAGAGAAAAACAACCTCCGGACTGTAAAAGCCAGACTCTCACTCCCAAGAAGAGCTTCAAAAGTCAGCTCAACAAACCAGACATGCTAGCATTAACCTGTTGCTAGTTTATAATGTAATCACTGTCCTGTTCTTGGGGTTTAGTGACCTGCTAATGTAAATTAGCATTTGTGCATGGAGATCCGGTAGTGCTGAGTTATGGAGAAAGCCATCTTGAACATTTTAATTGTGCAGAGTCATGACAGTGAGGTTGAGGACTACTGTTGGTGATGCTGACATAGATCTGGAGAGGTATGTGCAGCCGTTGAGAAACTTGCTCTAAACAGACCAGATAATAGCAGAGCATCTCAGATACGCTAGTCACGGGGTCTTGTGCTGCTTGCTTTGTTTCTGGGGCTTTCTGAGAGGTGGACTTTTACCTGATTAAAGACAGAAGTTGTAAAAGTAAAAGTTCAGAAAATTACAGGCCTATAGCTTTGGCTAAAATATAGAGTTGAAAGTGTTTCAACATGTTCTCTTGGGAAAAACTTCAACCATATGCCAGAACTACTGCTAGCTACTAACCTAGCTTATACAACATAATTATGGACCTCACTGACATCTGCACTGTTTATAAATGGACTCCACAATTATCGACTTCCGTATTATTGAGGTTCTTTGTAAAATGTTTTATCCTATTTTTATTTCACCCTGTGTCTTATTGATTTTTAGCTGTTATTTTTGGGAATTTTGTTGTATTTCCTTTTTATCTTTTATCTGTGTTCGACATGTTTATATAACGCCTGTTTAATTAACCAACATTTTTAGTGTACAGCGCCTTGTTTGGTTGTAATGCCTTGTGAATGCGCTTTATAAATAAAATTGGATTGGATTGGAACTACTGACTTTGTTTGGTTTTATTTATGCACTGAAGGAAGACGTGTCAGTATGGGAAACTGAATTCATCTGTTTGTGTTTTCTTGATGCAACTAAAGCTTTTGACTGAAATCATGGTAAACGTTTTAGGAAACTTAAAGAACAAGGTGTCCCCTCATATTTAATACAAATGATAAAATACTGGTTTGAACACTAAACACTCGGGTGAAACGGGTTAGCTGTGGATCAGCTCCTGTTTCTGTGCCTAATGTGGTTTGCCAGGGGGAATCTTCTTTCTAGTTTGTACATAGATGAACCGAGTGTTAAAACAAGAGAGTAGGACCGGCTTCTGGAACAGCTGCAGCTTAGACATCTCATGGGACTTAAAGAAGATGTACAGTTGGATGTCATCTGCATAAAGATGGTAGGAGATTCCTCTAAAAGAGCTCAGGATGTGCTGAAGAGGAAGCAGATCGAGGAGGTAGTGCAGAGGCCCCAGCACAGAACCTTGTGGGACACCGAAGCAAAAACATAAGTTTTATCTACCAATGTTAGCATGTCGCTTTAAAGGGGAATCCATTGACTGGAGAGTTGCAATGATTTTCTAGAGAGCACTGTCCTGTGGTGCCAGAGCAGAGCAAAGGAAAACAGAAAATCAGTTGATCATCCATCCATCCATTTTTGGCCACTTATCCAGAATCGGGTTGCGGGGGCAGCAGCCTAAGCAGAGAAGCCCAGACTTCCCTCTCCCCAGCCACTTGAACCAGCTCCTCCGGTGGAACACCAAGGCGTTCCCTGGCCAGCCATGAGACAGTCTCTCCAGCGTGTCCTGGGTCTACCTTTAGGTCTCCTCCCGGTTGGACGTGTCCGGAAAACCTCACCAGGGAGGCGTCCAGGAAGTATCCTGACCAGATGCCTGAGCCACCTCAACTGGCTCCTCTCCATGTGCAGGAGCAGCGGGTCTACTTCGAGCCCCTCCCAGATGACCAAGCTTCTCACCCTATCTCTAAGGGAGAGCCCAGCCACGCTTCAGAGAAAACTCATTTTGGCCGCTTGTATCTGTGATCTTGTTCTTTCGGTCACTACCCAAAGCTCGTGACCATAGGTGAGGGTAGGAACGTAGAACGGCCGGTAAATCGAGAGCTTTGCCTTCTGGCTCAGCTCTCTCTTCACCATGACAGACCGGTACAACGCCCGCATCACTGCAGATGCAACACCAATCCGCCTATCGATCTCACGCTCCATCTTTCCCTCACTTGTGAACAAGACTCTGAGGTACTTAAACTCCTCCACTTGGGGCAGGACCTCATCCCTGACCCGGAGAAAGCATTCTACCCTTTCCGACTCAAGACCATGGTCTCAGATTTAGAGGATCTCATCCCACTGCGAACCGCTCCAATAAAAGCCGGAAGTCACGTTCTGATGAAGCTAACAGGAAACAGCTCATCATGTGTCTAAAATATTACTCAAGTCATTTCAAAAACTTCTAGCCAGAAAACTGCAGAAAACAGAGAGGTCTCCCACATCCCACCACTCTACTGACTCGGTCTTCCTCTGCACTCACAAACCTTTGATTGCTGCACAAACAAGCAGGATCCAAAGGCCTCCCATGAGCTGCAGCTCGTCTGCATCATCAGAACAGGTGACACCAGGTGACATCTGTCTTTTTATTAGCGATGTACAAATACACTCACTCATGTGCAAACATGTTTTTATTCAGCAGAAATCCCAGTTGGTTCATGTGGCAAAGGCCTTCAATCAAATACCAACATTTCTACCATGAACAACACCTTTATTTTACAAAAATAAGTGACTATATGAGGGAGTATTTATGGACGTGATTTCTTTGACAACAAATAATGTTTTTTCACTGCTTTAAACAAGTGAAAACTAATATTCCAAATATTAAACAGTTCATGTTGTTGTACAGTAACGTAGTGTAAATCTCTGAGAGCAGCCCGTTGCTTCAGAAACAGATAAATGGTTTTATTACTACCCGTATGCGGTTTACTTTGATACTTTATAACAGTTTAAGTCCTAAAATCCCAGTTAGGACGTTACTTATTGTTGTGATGTGATGTTCTCAGGTGGAGATTCTGGATTTTAATCACTCAGAAGGTTTACAGACTCTGTCTGCAGCGCCTCCTCCACAGAGTCTGTGAACCTGAAGCCGTTTAGATCAGCGGCAAGGAGAGCCTTCAGTATGGAGGGCTTAGGAAAAAATACAGCAGATTAATATACAGTCCATCAGTACCTGAAAGGGTGTTGGGACTAAAAGGACGTACTTGCAATCCTGAAAAAGTCAGCTGGACTTTTTGCAGTCTGAACTGGCTCTGCAGGTCCCTCAGCTCATTGATCACGGTGTAATCTATGATGCTCACATGATGGCAGTCCAGGACCACAGAGCGTGGAGGAAACTCTGATGAGAGAGGTGAGTTAGGGAGGATGGACGAGCAAATGTTAGGGAAAGCTATTCAACAGATAAGTCTTTACCCTGCAGGGCTTGAGTGTGTATGATGTGACTCAGATACTCTGCAGCAGGAAAACTGAGGCCACTGCTCAACTCCATCACCAACACGCCGTCATCCGACACCTGAACGCACCATAAACATACGGTATGTCCTACGCACTCTCAAAGGTGTGGAACACTGAAAAAACTGTTTTAACGATTATTTCTTGGTCTTAGGACAGCAGCATCACAGGAGGTAGAGCGGGCTGTCCAGTGATCAGAAGGTTGCAGGTTCCATCCCGGCTCCCACTAGAGAATGCTGCTGTTGTGTCCTTGGGCAAGACTCTTCACCCGCCGTGCTTGTTGGCGGTTGGGCCCCAGGGCAGCTGTGGCTACATCGTAGCTCATCCCCAAAAGTGTGTCAATGACTGTGTTGTGAAGCGCCTTGGGGGGTTGTAGAACCCTAAGTAGGCGCCATTTTAAAAACAGGTCATTTACCTTCTCTGATTCTAACGGGTCACTGAGTGTTTCATGCAGGCTGAACATGGAGATAGTCTCCTACACCTATCTCCTGCAGTAGCTTCTGATAGAAAACAGACGGTGAAACTCTAGGATTAGAAAATCCTGACAGATCTACGTCACACTGTCACTAACATTCATGGACTCACCCATCTGGACTCACGACGGGGAAGCTGTTGTTGGTTTAGTCCAGGAAACATCAGAGAATGTCTCAGCTAGTAGATGCTAATTGTTAGCATTAGCAACTGCACCACACAGCAGAACTCCTCCAGGCGTGTGTTATTGGTGGAGATAAAACATCAACGTTGCAGAGAAGAGAGTCAGTGGTGAGTCGTGTTGCTGTTAGCCAATCAGAGGAGAGATGTCCACATTTCAGGAAGTAAGACTCCAGATCCTGTTATCTGAAGCTACCTTCTCCTCTGATGTGGCAAACTCCTAGTTCCTGTGTGTTTTCCCCTGGGGTACTACTTACAAGGCATTCATTCCTACTGGTGACCACTGCAGATGTGTTGAGTGAATGAGTGAACCACTCCTTTAAAGTGCAGAACGAGTCTCCTGTTTCTGTCAGTATCAGCTTTAATCCATGCATCAAAAGTCACTGATGCTGTAGGCGCCAGCAGCAGACCACAAAACAAAATCTCTGATACGTAAAACTTAAGAGCTGGTTTCATGTGTAAATCTCTATACCACAACCCATGAGAATCACTTTAGTACCTTCACTTTGGGTCGGGCCATGCCGTACAGAAGCAGGGCTCCAGAAACAGTTACACCTCCCATGATGCCGTACTGCATCTCCCAGAAACACAACAGGAACGTCACGCCAAACGGCAGCAGATCCAGCTCTGTGGAGGACAAACTGTTAAACTCGCGTTCGACACACTGACATGAAATACTTAGTGGACACCTACTGTGTGTCCTCCACATCTTTGCTACAACACGGTGGTCCACCATGGGAGCTACGGCACAGATGATAACAGCAGCAAGAGAAGCTTTGGGGATGTAGTAGAACGCTGGCATGAGAAACGCCAAGGACAGCAACACGATCACACCTGTGAAGATGTACAAAGCAGGTAGCGTGGCGCAATGACAGGTATAGGCACAGTAAACGTAAGTAAGACAAAAATACAGCCTCTCAAGATGAAAACCACGAGACACTTAAACACATATTTAAAGATGCCAAAAAAGGGAAAATTTTAAATAAAAAAAGTGACAGAAGATCAAAAAGAATAAAAAAAAAAAGTCATCACAGGATCCTGAGAAAGGCAGAACAGGGAGAGGGTGATGAAGGTCCCACCAAACCTGAACAGGTGAGTTTAAAGGAGACCACCGAGTCCACTGATCTCAGGCTCGGGGGGGGGGGGGGGGGGGGGGGTTGGAGGTCCAGAGTCTGGGGGCCACAGCAGCAAATGATCTGTCACCTTTGACCTTTAACCTGGTGCTGCACAACCAGTAGGCTTTGGTCACTGGACCTCAGGGACCTGCTAGGGGTGTAGGGACTGAGAAGATCACCAATGTAAGATGGTGCTTGTCCATGTAAGGCCCTATAGACCAGAACCAGGATCTTGAAATGAACCCTGAAGTTGACTGGCAGCCAGTGAAGCTGGAGGAGAAGCGGGGTGATGTGGGTGTGTTTGGAGGACTTGGTCAGAAGCCGAGCACAGGCATTCTGAATCACCTGTAGACGGTTCAGGGAGGTTCTGCTCAGACACGTGAAAAGAGAGTTACAGTAGTCTAAGCGTGAGGAGATGAAGGTGTGGAGAACTGTCTCAAGTTCAGAGCGGGACAGAATGGGACTCAGCTTAGCAATGTTCCTGAGATGGAAGAAGGAAGAGCCAACAAGAGAACTGACATGAGAATCCAGGATCCTGTCTGTGTGAGGATCATTTCCAGACTAGGCTACAGGTCCCCCTATTTAAAAAGAGGACCAACATCTCGTTTAGTGATAGGGTGAGAAGCTCGGTCATCTGGGAGGGGCTTGGAGTAGATCCGCTGCTCCTCCACGTCAAGAGGAGCCAGTTGAGGTGGCTCGGCCATCTGGCTAAACCAAATTTATACTTCGTCGGGACGGTAACACACAATGTCATTATCCTCCGTCTGGTTCGCAGAGGAAGACGGGGGACTGCCCCAATTTTTAACTTCGACAGAGACGGAGAACGCAAGCTTGAGATTGGTCAGTGTTTTGATCTGTTCACCATCAACATTGCGTGCAGCAGCAACCACAGCCTCCCAGACACTGTTCAGAGAGGTGTACCGCTTTCCCTCCTTGTAAATCTCACATTTGATGATGGACCACAGGTTCTCAATGGGGTTCAGATCAGGTGAACAAGGAGGCCATGTCATTAGTTTTCTTCTTTTATACCCTTTCTTCACGCGTGTGACGGAACATTGTCCTGCATGAAAATCATGTTTTTCTTGAAGGATGCAGACTTCTTCCTGTACCACTGCTTGAAGGTGTCTTCCAGGAACTGGCAGTAGGACTGGGAGTTGAGCTCGACTCCATCCTCAACCCGAAAAGGCCCCACAAGCTCATCTTTGATGATACCAGCCCAAACCAGTACTCCACCTCCACCTTGCTGGCGTCTGAGTCGGACTGGAGCTCTCTGGCCTTTACCAATCCAGCCACGGGCCCGTCCATCTGGCCCATCAAGACTCGCTCTCATTTCATCAGTCCATAAAACCTTAGAAAAATCAGTCTTGAGATATTTCTTGGCCCAGTCTTGATGTTTCAGCTTGTGTGTCTTGTTCAGTGGTGGTCGTCTTTCAGCCTTTCTTACCTTGGCCATGTCTCTGAGTATTGCACACCTTGTGCTTTTGGGCACTCCAGTGATGTTGCAGCTCTGAAATATGGCCAAACTGGTGGCAAGTGGCATCTTGGCAGCTGCATGCTTGACTTTTCTCAGTTCATGGGCAGTTATTTTGCGCCTTGGTTTGTCCACACGCTTCTTGCGACCCTGTTGACTATTTTGAATGAAACGCTTGATTGTTCAATGATCACGCTTCAGAAGCTTTGCAATTTTAAGACTGCTGCATCCCTCTGCAAGATATCTCACTATTTTTGACTTTTCTGAGCCTGTCAAGTCCTTCTTTTGACCCATTTTGCCAAAGGAAAGGAAGTTGCCTAATAATTATGCACACCTGATATAGGGTGTTGATGTCATTAGACCACACCCCTTCTCATTACAGAGATGCACATCACCTGATATGCTTAATTGGTAGTAGGCTTTCGAGCCTATACAGCTTGGAGTAAGACAACATGCATGAAGAGGATGATGTGGACAAAATACTCATTTGCCTAATAATTCTGCACTCCCTGTATATGTGTATATATATAATCTATAGATATATCTATATAGATATAAATATATCTATATATCTATATAGATTATATATCTATATCTATATAGATTATATCTATCTATCTATCTATCTATCTATCTATCTATCTATCTATCTATCTATCTATATCTATCTATATATCTATATATATATCTATATCTATATATATATATATATATATATATATATATATATATATAAATAAGAGAGAGAGAGAGAGAGAGAGAGAGAGAGAGAGAGAGAGAGAGAGAGAGAGCGAGAGAGAGAGAGAGAGAGAGAGAGAGAGAGAGAGAGAGCATGGGGCTGATGACGCTTTAGAGCAGGGGTGTCAAACTCAAACTCACACGGGGCCGAAATGAAACTCTGGGACGGAGTCGAGGGCCAAACTTAATATTTTTTGAAAAAGTGACGGCAAATTTGCACGTTTTCTTTATCAACATGTAAGCAATTTTGAACCTTTAAATTTGGAAACAAACATATTTCTGCATTAACACTGAATGTGGAATAACCAAATTACACACGAGCAAGTCAGTTTTAGATAAAAGGCATCAGTGGTATTCATTACTTGTGGTATAATCAGCATTTTTAAAATCTATTCAGGATTTATGTTTTCTTGTTTATTCATTTTTCTTATTTTTTATTCTCCTTTTTTCTCCTGTAATACGTGTCATCGCTGCTGTGACATCTAGCTTTCCCCACTGAGGAACAATAAAGGGATTTTCTATTCTATTCATCTATCTGCAGCCTTTCCACTTCCTGTTTACTGTAGGTTAAATCTTTGCTCACGTGCCAACAACAAAATAAAAATATTATTTTATCTTAAATGAAAATGCAACATCTCACCTGTTAACTTTCATGTTTTGGAGCAGAAAAAGAGCATCAAACCAACATTTAAAGCTCAGTTTGTTCCACTGGTTTACTGTGATGCTCACCTGTTCCAGCCAGATGCCTGCATCATGGGTTGATCGGAGCTGAGGAGGAGACTCCTGTTGTTTTGTTCATCTTCATCATAATAATGACAACATTAGATGACAACAGCTGCTCACATAGGTTTGTGCTGGTGAACATGTCTGAGCAGCTTGACCGCGTTGTTGTGTGTCGGGGAGGAAACACGACAGCAGCCACAGAGTCATGCTGGTTTGAGCGTGTCGCTGCTCGCTGGAGTTATATCAGCTCTGTTTGGAAGTTAGTTTGAAAACTTATGGCGTTTAAAGCGTGCCACAACCCGTGCACGCGCATTGGGTCCACAGCGCGCGTGTGAACGGGACTCGCGAGCGAAAATATACATGGCAGCGCGCGCGTGAACGGGACTCGCGAGCGAAAATATACATGGCGAGAGGTCATTTGTGCACTGAGAGGGAGCAAACTGTGTCTGTGAGCGCACAAGGATGTGCACAAGTGACAAACCTGCGTGCGCGCGTTGCCAACGCACACGGCAGAGGAAAACGTGCGCGCGCGGCAGCCTCTTTGCGCGCTCGGCAGCCTCTGCGCGCTCGGTTTCTAATTCCGCTCGCTCGGCTGTGAGGAGTTTTGGCACTCTGGAGGCGTGGCCTGTGGCAGATCTTCCCTGTCCTCTGATTGGTTAGTTTACCCCACACTTTACTCTCTACCTATCTATATAAAAAAATCGGAGAGTCAGCAGTTGCTGTCATAGCTCAGCTGGGAGAGCGGGTGACTCTCACTCTAGAGGACCCAGGTTCGAGTCCGGCCAAGGAACATACAGTAGAGTCGTCATATTATTCTTTCCTAATTCCTGTGATATTATTTTACATTTGTGACCGTTCAACTGTCATTAAACGTCTGAATGTTTGCTGGGCAGTGTTTTAAAAAGTGCACATAAGCTAGATGGTTTTAACCAGGTAAAAATAGACTTGTGGGTGTAGGTATGTTCAAGTTTAAAAAGTTCTTGCCTCATTAATGTATTGTTTATTTTTTTCAGCATTTAATTGACAAATTATCCTTTCAAATAATTAATTGATGAGTTACATAATTGTCCATTTAGAATTGTTGAATGGACTGAGTCAAGTTTGGTGCACTTTATACATTTCAAAACATGTTTTTTTATTTTAATTATGCATATAAATAATTTTAATGTTAATTTATTGAAATATTTCTATTTTTTCATTACCTCACCCTTGTTTTGACAAAAACAAGACCTTGCTGGATAATATCACGGAGAAACTATTTGTTCACAGTACTTGGCTCAGTGAGGATCTGTATACCAAAGGAGGAGATGCTCAGAAATCTGTCTGCAGATTGTTACAACCCAGACTGGAAGTGGTGGGCTGTAATAAGAAAGGAGACCACAGTCATAAAGTTTTCAATCAGTAGTTTTATTTCAGTATGTATTTTTCCAGTATCACAAAAAATGTAATTTTAGATGGTTAAGACCATCTAGCTTATGTGCACTTTTTAAAACACTGCCCAGCAAACATTCGGACGTTTAATGACAGTTGAACGGTCACAACTGTAAAATACCTGAAATTAAGAAAAATTAACATGACATCTACTGCATTTTCCTTGCCCGGACTCAAACCTGGATCCTCCGGGGCGAGAGTCACCCGCTCTCCCAGCTGAGCTATGCCAGCAACTACTGAATATCAGACTTTTTTATATAGATAGAGGGTAAAGTGCGGGGTGAACTAACCAATCAGAGGACAGAGAAGATCTGCCACAGGCCACGCCTCCAGAGTGCCAAAAGCCCTTACAGCCGAGCAAGCAGGAGTCAGAAACCGAGCGCGCAGAGAGGCTGCCGAGCGCGCAGAGGCTGCCGCGCGCGCACGTTTTCCTCTGCCGTGTGCTCGTTGGCAATGCGCGCACGCAGGTTTGTCACTTGTGCACATCCTTGTGCGCTCACAGACACAGTTTGCTCCCTTTCAGTGCACAAATGACCTCTCGCCATGTATATTTCCGCTCGCGAGTCCCGTTCACACGCGCGCTGCCATGTATATTTGCGCTCGCGAGTCCCGTTCACACGCGCGCTGTGGACCCAATGCGTGTGCACGGGTTGTGGCACGCTTTAAACGCCATAGTTTAGTTTGCCCGAGACAGCGGAGCTGCAGACACCCAACTACCTCTGACTGCCTCGGCGCTGAAAAAACACAAAGGAGGGGGCGCGTCTGCTCCGCACTGGCGCCGCAAAGCATCATGGGAGTTGTAGTCTTTGCGGTAAAATAGGCCAGCGGGCCAGTTTTAATATATTTTTGATATTTATCTCGCGGGCCACATAAAAATGCTCCGCGGGCCGCATCTGGCCCGCGGGCCTTGACTCTGACATATGTGCTTTAGAAGAATGATGAGAGAGAGAGAGAGAGAGAGAGAGAGAGAGAGAGAGAGAGAGAGAGAGAGACAGTGTTTGGGGTGACGGTGACACAAGAGTTATGCGCTCGCCCCGTAATCGGAAGGTTGCAGGTTTGAGCCCTGCTCAGTCTGTTGCTGCCGTTGTGTCCTTGGGCAAGACACCTAACCCACCGTGGCTGCTGGTGGTGGTCGGAGGGACCGGTGGTGCCAGTGCTCAGCAGACTCACCTCTGTCAGCGCCCCAGGGCAGCTGTAGCTACAACGTAGCTCATCACCACCAGGGTGTGAATGGGTGAATGACTGTGTTGTAAAGAGCCTTAGGGGACTCCAGGACTCTAGAAGGTGCTATATCAAATACAGGCCATTTACCATTTGTGTGGAGAAGTTGAGGTGGATGCTCATTTGAATAAATGACAATTACATATGTTTTCTGGTTAAAGACTCAAGCTTTCCAACACCCACAAAAGAAACAGGAAATCTATTTTAGAGCGATAATGACAGTGTGATGACACGTGCTGCATCACGGAGGCAGAATAGATCAACTGGAAATATCACACTCACTGGTGACGATTCCACCGGCTGGAGTGCAGACCCCCGTCTGAGAGTTCACTGCTGTCCTAGCGGTGAAACAACAACATCAACATTATACGAACATTTTAAAAGTGATCTTCATTCTTTCTGTCCCATAAGATTCAAGAAGCAAACCTTCCAAAGCTGCCGGTGACGGGGTACGCTGACACAAATGAGCCCATGACGTTGGTCACACCGATGGCCAGCAGCTCCTGGTTTGTATCGATTCTGTAGTGGTTCTGACTGGCTGAGTGGAAACAAGGAGGGTGTAACGTCCAGCAATGGTCAGATTTTAGGTACAGTTTGACCATTCAACATCTGGTTAAAAAGGAGACACAAGACTGCATGTGTTCCCTTTAAATTGGCCTGCCTTCATCCCATCAGCTCAGAGCCTCTGCAGCTCTGAACACAGATAACGAAATGTCAAAAATAACATTCTCTCCTCAAGGTCCAATCGTTCAGGATTCTTCATGCCTCCATATAAGGAACACTCCAGCTCGGGTTTCCTATATATATATATATATATATATATATATATATATATATATATATATATATATATATATATATATATATATATATATATACATATATATGTATATATATATATGCCAATGTAGTTTATATGAATTATAATTCATATATTATCATTAATACATATATCTAAGTATATGTATATGTATGTGTATATACATACCGTAAATCCTCTAATACAGGCCAGGGCCTGTATTTGACTCAAGCTCATCAAGCTCCAGGCCTTTATTGGAAGGAGGACCAGAAGTAGAGGCAGGCCTCTATTTCTATTTGAGCAAAATGAACTAATGGTTCGCTGGAGTTTTTGACATTTTCAAAGTTAAACACATTTCTTTTAACAACGGTAGTTTCTGCTTCAGCCCTCTCCCCCCCTCCCCCTGCGCAGCGGCCGCAAACTCACTGATGCGCCTGCAGCCTCTCGGAGTTCCTGCTGCTCTAAACATTAAAATAATTATTTCATTTTCTGTTCCTCACTTCTGATTACCTTCAATGGTGTCTGTTTGTTGCAACCACCAGGTACAAAAACTAACTTGTTTTTATTTGACTATTTTTCTGTCCTGCCTGTTTATTATCTTCCTGCATCTCCTCTCAATCCTAAAGAGAAACTGCTACCTGGGTTCATATATATTCACCTTATGAGTGACTGTGACGTGCACCGTCTCCTTTTGGCCACACGAGGCCCTCGGTCCGCTGCCTGCACAGCTGCAGGCTGTTAGCTCAATTATGCCTCCCTGTTAAAAGGGAGAGCTTCCTGTCATTCTGGGAGAGATGTGCAGATGGGTGTTGGCACGGAGGTGTTTGCTCTCCTCTCTAGCTCTCCTCGCATTATAGACGTTGAAGTCTTCGATTCGCTACCTGAGTGGTATTTTCGTTTGTTTTGCAACCTGAGTGGTATTTTGAGTTTTGGTATTGTTAATAGTAGTTTGTGTGTCCTCGTTACAGAGAGACTTTGCTCACCCTTTTGGTGCAGTTTTGTGTTTACCGTTTAGCTTTATTCCAGCCTTTGTGCTGCGACTTTTGTTTATTATTAGATATCGTTTTCTTTATTAGAAATCCCTTTTGTTTATTGATTCCCAGTCTTGGATGACCCTTTTGTTCCCTTTTCAGCCAAGAGCTTCGGTTTTGTTTAATAAATATCCTATAGAGAACTATAAAAGTGTTTGTTTCATTCCAGTACAAAATCTTCTTTACTCCCTTAACCACATCGTGCTCCTAGGGAAGCCGAGGGACGTAAAAGTGACCTTTGAACTGCAGTTCTAAAAGATCTACCAACCACAAAAACAGCAGAGTGCGCGCTGCTTGCCGGCCACATCAGTTAGGTGCGTCACCGAGGACAAAACAGGTGATGCGCCCCGATCCACAGCAGCGAAACGCATCAGGCGCAAATAAAAGACAGAAAACATAAAAGGAAATGAGCCGACATGATTGATCGCGTGTTAAATTAGTTTTTGAGATGGCGACACCTGATTTGATAACGTTACTGTGGCCGTGCTCAGGACGCAGATGTCTGGAGCGCGTCAACAATCAGAACTTTGCATGCACAAGCTGGTTAAGGTTAGGATGGGGGTGAGGGGAATGTTAAATTGCAAGAGGGAAAAGGTCACAATTTGGTTAAATGTCTGTTTTACGGCGGGTGTCAGTACCGACGCTCTGGCACAGCGCGTTGCCTCCCGACGCGCAGGAGCTTGTCACCTGCTGACAGCAGGCTGATGTCTTTTCCGAGGACTGCATCTTGCTGGTCATTATCACGTGACAGCGACTAGTGGATGACAGGCATAAAAAGTCACTATAAAGCGGTGAAGTCGACTAGTTCATACAACCCCTACTGCTCCCCAGTGTTCTGCAGCATAATCAGCACGTTCTCTTTGAACTTGATATCAAATTGTCGCCTCCTCTTCGTCTCCGCACCTGCCAAATCGCGGTCTGTCACTGGCAAATCAAAAGTGAGACGGATGACACAACCGCTCCCCTGTGGTACTTGCTTGTTACCACATTCCACCCGGCCACAATAAAATACCGGCCATTATTCACCTCTACCGACTCCGACACCGGCCAAAATATGATACCCGGCCATTAATTGAATAGAGGCCAATATTAGAGGATTTACGGTACTTATTTTTCTTGGTAATTAGTTACTTTTTAAATCTTGTAACAGAGTAAGTAACTTTTTTGACAAAGGGATTTGTAACTATAACTAATTACTTTGTAAAAGTAACATTTCCAATACTGGGTAACGCACATATTTCCCCCTGTGGGATCAATAAAGTCAGCCTGCAGGCTGAACTCAGTGATTGATCACATTTAAAAACGTAAAAAACGTTTCTCTGAAGTGTACCAAAAGCTTTTGCGATGGTGATGCTCTCCAACAGACCCATGAGAGGAATCACAGCCAGCCCTCCGCCAAAACCCTAAAACACAGAGAGGAAGAGCGACTGGACACATTAAGGGAAGTGAAAATGGCTGCTCTTGTTCTCTCCTCTCTCTTACCTCGACAATCTTTCCAAAAGGGACGGCGGTTCCATTGGGAGTGGTGTCTGAGGTGGGCGGGGGACTGAACGGTGGCAGACCCTGGGAAGTGTGCCCAGTGATTGTGAACACATGATGACCATAAGCTTCCCAGGAAAATGCAGCAAGTGACGCAGCCACAACCACCAGGGCATTTCGCACTGACCAAAACCAAACAGGAAACAGAGTAAACATCAACAAAAACACGCCGTAAGCTGTGTTTCCGTTTGTATGAGGGTGGTACTGACTGGTCGCGACAGTCCACACCAGTTTCCTGGCAACGCTTGAGTAGGTGGAGCCATCATTATGGGTGGGATGTGACTTCATAAGCATAAGCACAACCAAGACAGCAAGACACACCAGACCCAGCACCACGTCGCCCACGCGGGCCTCTGGAATCCTGTAGAAGGTGTAATAAATCTCCAGGAAGAACTGCTGGGGAACGCCATGGATTCCCAGGATGTTCTACCAACAGAAAAACAAGCAGTGACACTTTTTATAAGGATTTATTTTGTGGTTGGCAACATGTGAGTCCAGTACGATCTAAGATAGAAAATCCTTTTTATAGAGGCGACAGAAACGCAGAAACAGGCGAGAATCGTCCCTCAGAAAAGTGTTTTAATCTAATATTACATCAATTGTTCATATAAACTCAAAGCACATTTTTACAGTCAAAGCATCTAAGTTGCTCATAAAATACTATTTAAATGTGTAATGAATGGTTAACAAGCATGTTTCAGGGCATTAAAATGGCTCCACAGTGTGTGTGTGTGTGTGTGTGTGAGTGTGTGCGTGCCTGTGTGTGTGTGTGTGCGTGTGTGCGTGCGTGCGAGTGTGTGCACGTGTGTGTGCGTGTGCACGTGTGTACGTGTGTGCGTGCATGTGTGCGTGCCTGTGTGTGTGTGTGAGTGTGTGTCTGTGCATGCGTGCGTGCCTGTGTGTGTGCATGTGTGCGAGTGTGTGTGCATGTGCGTGTGCGAGTGTGTGCACGTGTGCGAGTGTGTGCACGTGCATGCATGTGTGCGTGTGCACGTGCGTGCATGTGCACGTGTGTGTAACCTCACTTTGACCTGGCTGAAGCCGATAGTCACTGCAGCAGCACACGTGAAACCTTTTATTACAGGATAGGATATGAAGTCCAGCAGGAATCCTGCAGAAACAGAATCAGAATCACTCCAGATTTGGACTTTTACAGCTACACTACTCATGTTCAAAGTTAAGGAGACACTCGTGAAGAAATGCACCGCGTCTTCTTAGCACCTTTAGTAACTTTTAGAGTTTCTAGATAACCTGTGGCTGTAGAAAGGCTTTGTCACTAGAGTAGCAGCATCTTTTCTGACCTAATCTGAGCAACGCCATCAGAGCCTGGATGATCCCACAAAGGAGGCTGAGCAGGACAGCTCGGTGAGGCTGCCCCCCCACCACAGAGGAACACAGGAAGGACATGATGGCTGTCGGACCCAGTGTCACATCCTTGGATGTCCCCAGCAGAGCGTAGATGAACCCCCCCATGAAGGCAGAGTAGAGACCATACTATGGAGATAAGCACACTTAGAATGAAGACCAAACAAAGCTGAAATTGGGGGACATTTTCTCTAAAATTCCCACATTATATAAAAACATGATTACATTTTGGTTTGGAGGGGTTCCTGGACTGTTCAGTTTATTTATACAGCGTCAAATCACAGCTAGTCGTCTCAAGGCTCTCCACAGAGCAGTCATCCCCATAGAAACCCTGAGAGTCCAGGGGTCTCATTTATAAAACATGGAGTACGCACAGCTTCACGCCATCCATGGGCGTCGCACCCGTGGGGGATGCGGGGGATGCAACACCCACACTTTTCTTATTGAGATCGATCAACTGACACCCTCACTTTTCCAGCTGTTTTGCTCACCTACACACCAGTCTGGTTTCTTTACGTCGCACTCACTCTGTTTGCCTCATCTCCTTCTTCACCTCCCTCTTCTGACAGCCGATGTCGGGTTTCCAGGAGAGCAGGAGAGGGACGGACGGAAGAGCTCGACTGAATTCATAATTTTACATTTTGACATTAGCTGTACAAAGTCTGAGTTTGATAAAGTGAAGAACAATAATTTGCAGAGGTTTATAACTGGCGCGGTGCCAGGTTTTCATTTTTGGGTGGGCCACGGTAATTTTGGACGGACCTTAATAAGCAGTGGCTTAAGTGAAGCAGGCAGGTCGCGCTAGAAATTTAGTTTAAAAAGACGTCATAAATGTTTTCCCCCGTCATTTTTATTTCTAAAATATGAAGTAAAAACTCACAATTTAATTTTCATTCATTTGTCATTAATATGTAGTCTACACCCGTGCGTTAAGTGGACCATCTTCCAGTAAAAGCAAAGCATCCAGCCCACTTCTCTAAATGCGTAAAATGTGCATCAGCCGCTAGTTAGGCGCGCCGCGTGCTCCGTCAGCTACGTCAGCCCAGACAAGAGCAGAGCAAATAGAGAAAGAATAGAGGATAATTGTGTCTGGATGTGGATGGAGATTACATTTTACAGCAGCCTGATCATTTAAATATGTAAACCATCACCTGTCTTATAGTCCACGCTATCAGCATTATTTTAATTGGAGAGAGTGTGTGTGTGTGTGTGTGTTTTCCACTTCAAACACTGGTCTAACCAACCAGACCAGCGTGTCCAGTAACATATTAATGTTTCACTTCATGTAGGCTAGGAACATTTCACCTGCCGTGGCCCGACCGCTTCTGCTCCACATAAACTTTGTGCGTGATCAAATGTCTCTACAGGTGCTTTCAGAGCTGAAGAGGCTATTCTGCCTCAGACTGGATGCGTCATGCATCTCCATATTAGAGACGGGAACAAGCGCTATTCAGCCAAAGTTTCATAATCAGCGAACATTTTTCCAAGTGACACATCCCTCAGAGAGACCCGGTTTCCAGACCGCTTCAGTGGGAGGAAATCTTATCGCATACGCCGTGGTTCTGCGCTGCGCTGCGAACCCCTCTACAGATCTTCAGCCCACTGTCCACCGTGTGCGCTCCGAGCCGCGCTGAACACAGTGTCCAGTATAAAGCTCTGATGTTCTGATGGGAATCTTTTCTTGATTGATTTAGTTACCTCCGCGATGTGCGTTAACGATTAAAATGTCCGCTCATCTGTGAGCGCATCAGTGTGCGTCGGGGTAATTCTTTCAAAACAACCAACATCCTTGAGTTTATCCATCAAAATAAACAGTCAAATGGAAATATATGTAACCTGCCATTTAACTGTTTTGCCTTCTTGTGAAGATTGTTGCAAAGAGAAACAACTAAACCTGATTAACCCCAGAGCCACGCGCACTGCACTGTACTTCTGACTGTAAATGAGAGGAAACAATTTAATCGGATCCTTTTCTTTTCAACATGGTTTAATGTAAAGTTTAATTCAGTACAAACTTTAGTTACACTGATCTAACGAGACAGAGCCTGGATTTGTATTCTGAACAGTTTAAACATGTTTAAAACGGAGACATGCGTGACGCGTCTAAAATTCGCACCTGCTCCGCTATTATGGAAATTAAACTAACAAGATGAATAACATGAAATTATTTTAGGCACAGACAACATCCCCCACACTTCTGAAAAGCTTGCAACGCACCTGATGCCATCTCAGCTTTATAAACCACACTCTACCTAGAAATGTGCTCAGGAGTAGAGCCCTGCACGGGCCTAAAATCTGAGCCCGTGTCAGGCCCGGCCCGAGGGGGTGGAGCCCCAGCCCGACCCGGTCCGAAAAGGTTTTCAGGATTCTCTGGCCCGACCCGAGCCCGACTTTTTTTTTAACCTTTCATAATGTTTTAGCGTGATAGAATGCTCAGCGTTCTAATTATCTGTGGGAAGCGTTCTGCAGTAAAAAAAAAAAAAAAAATTTAAAGAAAGAAAAACAGCATCGATGCAGCTTTTTTTCTAACAGAGCATATTTTTCGAGCGGCAGATGAAATTTACGAACACTATATTAATTGGATGCGCTTGTAAATTTAATCTGCTCTGAAAATGCGCTCTTGTGCAATTAGAAAAAAAAGCAGCATTCTAATTTTCTAACTGAGAGCGCATTTTCAGAGCGGCAGATTAAATAAACGCCCCCAATTATTATAGCGTTTGTAAATTTAATCTGCCGCTCTGAAAATGCGCTCTCCAGTTAGAAAAAACCCAGCAATGAATGCTGTATTTTTTTAACTGCAGAGCGAATTTATTCACAGAAAAACAGAATGCTGCCGTTTTCATGAGAATAAACGAATGGTTTCTGACATCAAAGTGGACATAAAATGGCTTATTAGAACAGGGGCACATGTTTCAATCAGCAGTTTGAGAATTCGTTTATATAGGCGCATTTATAAACCACGCACACCTTAACTGAGCTAACGGGTGCGTGAGAAGCAGGCAGGTGCTACTGCGTTTAAGTGTTTTTTTTTTATGAATTTGATTAAAAATAAAGGCGCCCGGCCCGGCCCGTGTCCGAGGTAATTACACAGTCGTTGGCCTGAAGCCCGGCCCTCGGGCCATTGGGCCGGGCTTCAGTGCAGGGCTCTACTCAGGAGTTTCTGGATCACATCCCGCCCTCAACACGCCCTCTTTGTGTGACACACAGCGGTACCAGTGATGATGCTGCTGGAGCTCATAATGTTATCCTTCTCAGCAGCAGCACTGCAGGTGCTCTCCATGTCCAACATGTGCGTAAGCCAGGTCCTCAGTCAACTTAAATTTGCGCACTTTTTCCCACTAAGTTTTCTTTTCACAAAGTTTGCGTGGAAAGTTGCTTACGCAGTTTTCCAACCCCGTTTTGTGCGTAAGCAAGCTTGATAAATGAGACCCCTGAGCTGTAAGCAAATAAGGAAAAAGTTACTAAAGTTTCACTGGGGGTTGAGAAGACAGCACACACACACACACACACACACACACACACACACACACACACACACACACACACACACACACACACACACACACACACACACACACACACACACACACACACACACACACACACACACACACACACACACACACACACCATAAATACCAAGTATTGAATCGATCGCTGTGATTTCTTACTAGAGAATAAATGTATTAACTAAATAATTGGGATGTCCCGATACGATACCGATATTGCAGCCTTCAGTATTGACCGATACGATATCAGCACAAATCATACAAATACCGACATCCTGAGGATGTGCCAACAGAAGCATGCTGGGAACAGTGTTTAGCTCATGCACGTTTAAAGGCATCCTTTGGAACTTTTTGGAATCCTTGCCTTTGTTTCCGTTGAGTAAGAATGTTCCGGCGGTAACGGACATACTCACTAATGGCAACCGAGTCATCTCCTTTAAAAATGAAGGAATCAGAATACTAGTAACTAGTAATACTTTCCTCCCATTGTTAGATAGGAGAGTAAAACAACAACAGCACCGCCGCCGAGTGGCGCTGCTACAGAAAAGAAGCCTTTCGATGTTTCAAGCAGAAGTTACTGCAGCCAGGCCCAGGCTGCAGCCTGCCACGCCAGCTACTGGGCCAGCCTCCAGGCTACTATCACCAGATCAGCGGGAGCCTCCAGGCAACCACCAAGGTACGGTGCCACAAGCTAATAAACTGTTCAAAGTAGGCTTCTCCGCTGTGCCAGAGCACCTAGACTTTTTAACAAATGAGACCAAAGAAGCAAGGCCGCATTGGTGAGGAAGAACTGGAAGACATAAGAAAATCGTTGAACTTCCGAATGATTCAGTGGAACTCATTAGAAAATCATTTAAAATGTTGTTCAACTTCAAACACTTTTGAATTTAAGTATCAGTAAAAGCAGAAGATGCTCATGTTGTATAGAAACGGAGGTGACAATTGTTACCAAATATTCTCACATGGAAGGAAACGTTTACAGTTGATGCTAACACTGGTTACGCTGTTGAGGTTTGAGGGGTAATTGTGTTCGATTGTATCCGGGCGTTAGCCAGGCTGCTAAGTTTGTACTGAAGCAGGAAGGGGAGGGAGATTCATGTCGCTCCTGTTCTACTGTCATGGAAAGTATTATTGTTATGTTAAACAGTTGTGTCATTTTGTTGTTGTTTTTTCTTTTTTACACAGCCATGAAAAAGAGTAAGTGTTCTAATAAAATAAATAAATAAATGAATAAATAAATAAATAAATAAATAAATAAATAAATAAATAAATAAATAAATAAAATCTCGGAACGGGACATCCCTACTTAATAACATTTATCGTCTTTATCAGAGTGAATCTGTAGGTAACTGAACAGGTGAACTAGTAGCAGCATTCTGTGTTGAAGAAAGTAAAACGTTATTATCAAGAGAGAATTAATTATATCAGTGAAAGGTGTGTTCACCTGTAGTTTAGGGGGTTGCATTAATAGTTTATCTTTTATGGTCTTTACACATTGATGCTTCTTTACACATACAATAAAATCTAAATTCAATGTAAAATAGGGCTGCACAATATATCGTAAATATATCGTTATCAGCATGAGCAATATGCATATCGCAAAGAACAAAAATATCGCAATGAATGGTTAGCTCATATGTTTGCTTCACGCAATGCGTTCTGTCAATCAAACAGAAGCATGATGTTTAACAAATCAAATAGAGCTCTTCACCCATTTGGCCAATCGGGTGGGTTCTCGTAGGTTAGATTCCCGCCTCCGAGGTGGACGGCACTTAATTTTAATGGTTAGCAAACACCTGAGTTAGCTTTGTTCTGCTGATTCTGCTTTTCCCGGGATCACTGATCGCCTTTTCTTGATCATTTTCTTTTTCCCTTTCCTCACATCTTTTGCATTTCTCATTTTTATGATTTTTTTATTTTTTGTTTTCGATTATTTTTGTTCCTGAGTTAAGTTTTTATTTATCGCAAGTAATATCGTCATCGCAATATTAATCACCGTTATCGAATATCGCAGGTTTTCCTAATATCGTGCAGCCCTAATGTAAAACATTTGAAAGTATGGAAAACTGTTGGTTTTTACTAGTGAATGGTCTCATGGTCGACACTCTGGGATCGGTGTCATGTCAGTCACAACATTCTGTTGGTAACTGCTAACAAACTGTTAAAGGACTAATTTCATAAAGGCCCTCACCTGCACAGGTAGACCAGCTACCTCAGCATAAGCCAGTGCCTGTGGGACAGTTGTCAACCCCACGGTGAGACCTGCCAGCAGGTCCATTTTCAGGTGGGTCAGGTTGTATTTAGGTAACCAGCAAAAGACGGGCAGCCAGGACTTCAGGGTCCGGTAGGAACAACAGCGCCGCCATGACTCAGATCTCTGATCGTGATCCATGGACCCGCCTTCAGAGGTGGAGGGAATATCAGAAGTTAAACTGCATGACACGAATTAAAATGCAGCAGAACAACAGGTGTATAAGCAAAGGGACGACTTTGCATCCCATCTTTTAAATGTCGTCACCTTGTGGGAGCGGTTTGGTGTCTTTGCCGAGTAGTCCTCAGAACCAAGCATGAGTCAGCATTTCTATCAGGCACGTGGATGGACAGCTGCTTATGAAGAGAGGTGGAAGAAAAGAAGAGAATTTACTTCCTATAAAAATCCAGCTCAGCATTCCTTCAGGTGTGTCACATGACACTAACCTTTTTTGTACACCTGTATCTGAACAAACACTAAAATTAGTTTGTAAATAAACAAAACCACATATTGTCCCCGTGGTGTCGGAGCAAAATAAAAGAATCAGCGGTTCAAAGATGTAAACATTTCCCTCAACTAAATTACAAAGTCTGAGGATAAAAAAGAATGAAGTCATTTAGAAGAACAGAACTGAACAGAACAGAATATAATAGAACCTAACAGAACACAATAGAACTCAATAGAATAGAACAGAGGAGTATATAATAGAATATATTAGAACCTAACAGAACCCAGTAGAACACGACAGAATAGAACAGGAGTATATAATAGAATATATTAGAAATGAATAGAACAGAACACAAAAGAATACAGCAGAACCCAATAGAACAGAACAGAACCCAGCAGAACAGTCTCACGTTCTCCTCTCATCCTTCAGAGGCTCAGCTGAGATTTTCAGCTCCGCTTGTGACAAACTCTTGTTGTGAAACTTCTCCCAAAACTCGAGAGGCACATCGCTTCTTGACCAAACTACTTCCTGTTTTGTCGGGTCACGTGACCGCTGTCATGTGACGTAGGTGGATTTGTGTTGTTTCAGGCGGAAGTGGCTAAAGCGAGCACGGCTCATGTCTGCAGTGAAGTCAGACAGGTCTGAACCTTCTAACTGTTTGTAACTTTACGGAACTTGAGGAGATGCTGCTGCTGCTGCTGCTGGCTGGAGCTTGTTGCTGCTTCGTGGAGTCCAACAGCAGAAACGTTCTTCTGATCATCGGTGAGCCGCACTTTAACAAGTCAATTTAGTAATGTTAGTGTTTTTGAACGATGCGGTCCTCTTGTTATGTCTTTACTGGTGTTTAATGTTCTGTTCATTGTTTTTCTAACGCACTAAAAACTGTAAACGCAGAACAAATCATCATTTTTGGTTTAAATGATTTACCGCAGTGGTTAGAGCTGTTGCCTTGCAGCAAGAAGGTCCTGGGTTCGCTTCCCGGCCTTTCTGCATGGAGTTTGCATGTTCTCCCTGTGTTCTCTCCGGGTACTCCGGCTTCCTCCCACAGTCCAAAAACATGACTGTTAGGTTAATTGGTTTGTCAAAATTGTCCTTAGGGGTGTGTGTGTATGTGTGTGTGTGTGTGTGTGTGTGTGTGTGTGCATGCATGATTGTTTGTCCTGTGTGTCTCTGTGTTGCCCTGCGATGGACTGGTGGCTCTCTGTCCAGGGTGCACCCCACCTGATTGCCCGTTGACCGCTGGAGATAGGTGCCAGCCCCCCCCACCCCCACCCCCCCCCCGACCCTACGTGGACAAAGCGGGTTCAGTAAATGGATGGATGATTTACCCGCATATAGTTTTTAAGAATAAGAATAAGAACAACTTTATTTATCCCGAGGGAAATTCTTGTGTCATGTACATGCTCAAAGCAGTTGGAGAGACAAAGGAACAGGTGAAATAGAAATATGATATACAATATATTCATTAAAAAAATAAATTAAAAAATAAATAAATAAATAAAAAAGATCTACAGTAGTACCATGTAGGATAGTGCAAAACAAACAATCGCATATCTCAATAATTGAATACATGACTGCATCCTTGTGAATAAGTAATTAAGCCGTCGGTGCAGGCGATTCACAAATGTGATTAAAGTATTGTGTAAAAGAATATGGGTTTGTAGCAGCATATGATATGATGGGGGGATAAAAACATATTTACAATCAGAACTCTTGGGTAATATTGCACAGTCGGTGAGGGCACAGAATAACCAAGGTAATAGTATTTGGAGAATCACCTACAGCGTGAGGAAGAGTTAAACAGTCCTATTGCCACCGGTACGAAGGATTTCCTGTGGCTGTCAGTTCTGCATTTCGGGGCAATGAGTCTTTTGCTGCGTGTGCTTCGGTGGTCCATCATGTGGGCGTGCATGGGGTGGGAGGGGTTGTTCATGATAGAGAGAAGCTTTTTTAGCATTCTCCTCTCAGACACCTCCTCCAGGTTCTCCAGTCTAACACCCAGGACAGACCCAGACCTTCTAATCAGCTTGTTCAGCCGGTTGGCATCAGCTATCTTCACCCCACTGCCCCAGCACACAGCTGCAAAGAACACAATGCTCTCCAACACCGAGTGATAGAACATGGTCAGCATTTTCCTACCAACATTGAAGGACCTGAGCCGCCTCAGTAGCAAAAGCCGACTCTGCCCTTTTTTGAAGATAGCATTGGTGTTCTTAGTCCAGTCCAGTTTACAGTCCAAGTGTACACCCAGGTACCGGTAGTCCTCAACGATCTCAACGTCAGCCCCTCTTATGGTGACAGGAGTAGGAGGTGGGGCCTGCTTCCTAAAGTCCATAATCAGTTCTTTAGTCTTTGTGATGTTAAGTTGTAGGTTGTTTAGCTCACACCACTCCACAAAGCTGTCCACCACACTCCTGTACTCCACCTCCTGACCATCCCTGATACAGCCCATGATAGCAGAGTCATCAGAGAATTTCTGCAGATGGCAAGACTGAGACTTGTACATGAAGTCAGATGTGTAAAGGGTGAAGAGGAAGGGTGATAGAGCTGTCCCCTGCGGCGCCCCCGTGCTGCTCAGGATGTTATCTGAGTGGCAGCTCATCAGTCGGACATGCTGTGGTCTATTTGTTAAATAGTCCGTAATCCAACCTACAAGTGGGGCGTCCACCTGCATTTCCGTGAGCTTGTTCCCCAGCAGTGATGGTCTGATTGTGTTAAAGGCACTAGAGAAGTCGAAAAACATGACCCTCACACTGCTGTTTTTCACTGCGGTCAAGAGACCCTGTCCACAAGAAAATGCTAACTTCCTGTTTTGAGACCAGATGTAGAGTTGTTCATTTCCGTTAACTTTTTTGTGCCTTTGTTTTGCTGTATCGCTACTGTTCGCTGACTCAAAAGTCATGTCAAAATTACAAAAACGGAATGATCGCATTAAGCTACAAAGAGCAGAAGGTGGGAACACTCATCACTGCTGCGTCCCGCTGTGTACTGCTGGGGGGAGATTTAACAGAACCTTTAGTTTTCACTCCTTTCCCAAGGATCCTGAGTTGCGGGCGCAATGGCTGATAAAAATCAGACGGGACCGCTTCAGAGTTACGGCCAGCTCTAGAGTGTGTAGTCGGCATTTTGAGACTGGCGGTGGAGATACCCTTGTCTTCCTCTGGAAAGCAATGTCTTCAGCCAAAAGTTGTTCCGTCATTATTCCACTGGAATGACTTCACGAAAAAGTCAGAGCGACCCGGAGTTTGGGAGCGCCGCTCTCGGCCTGTTGACACCGTGGCTATGGCAACCGAGGATGACAACCCAGAGGATGGAAACACCGATATCCCTATCACGGGTTATGCTGAGTCTGATCCAGCCTCCACCCCCATGATTGAAGATCATGATTATGCAGATAGCTCTTTGATTGTCGTAGATCACATTAAATATGAATCTATGTCAAGGGAGATCGAGGAGCTCAGGCAGCAGCTTGAGTCTTACCACCTCACTCAGGGGTTTGGACTGCAACGATTTGCCACATCACCCGATGACATTCGGTACCATACAAGGTAAGTAATCCTGAAGGTTTTAAGTTACCCTACAAACGTATACCCTAAGGGGTCAAAAATGAATCCATCTGGTGATGCACCAATCCATGGTGCATCCGGGTGCACCACAAATCCACATTTGTAGTGGCTCACTCATTTTATCTGGCAGTATTCCCAGATAGCATCTGCCTCTAACTCTAAACCCCTCTTCATGGGGCCTGTCTGGCGAGTACCTTTCAAGATGCGTTCAGCCAGCAGCTCTTCGGAGAGCTCACCCACATGACAGATCTCTCTAAATCGAGATGCAGTCACTCGTGGTCTCCGTACATTGTGCCAGTCGGCACACACACTCTGCTCTCGCGTAGCACATTCTATGCTCTGGGACATTTCGAGGGTTACCTCAAGACTTTTCATGTGCAGCTGTTGCCTCCTGGAACAGACAAACATGCATTCTGATGGTTTCAGTCTGTACGTCTGTGAAGGTTCTCAGTCATCCAGGTCATTGTAGTCTAATGAGCTTTGAAAGAAAAGCATCTGGAAAGCAACTCAAAGAAGTCCAGACGCTTTTCTTTCAAAGCTCATTAGGTTTCAGTCTGTAGTCTTGCAGAGGCAATGGTGGAGGAGGTGGAGCATTATGGAGGGTCTTCACTTTCTCTTTGGGTGGTTGCTGATAAGAAAGTGGACTTCCTTGTTGCACCTTGCCGAGCAGTGAGTCCACCAGTGGGATATCTTCGCCTATTCCCATGCTGCAGATCATAGGCCGGCCGGTCAGCATCGGAGAAAGGTTGGTAGACTTCAGAAACCTGCAGAACCGAGAGGTCGGGAAGGTCCCCGTGAAGGCCTTTGTACAGTTTGCTCCTGAATGTTAAGAACACACTTACAGAAAAATTGTAATCATTACATAAATGTTGAAACCAATCACTTTTATTACTTGGCAGGCCCTATAACTCACCATATTACCTCCGATGGCGTGTTCGAATCTGAAGCTCTTGTGCATGTGTCAAAAAACCTCTCACGGCATCCTAGTGTGCCGCGGCAGAGTGGTTGAAAAACATTAATGTAGAGCCCCGTGTTAGAAAGCCCAGAGTAGTGAACCTTTTTTGATACAAGCTTCGTGTGATTCAGAAAGCTTCATTTAGCCATCACTATATATTACCAGGAGAATCTGCCGTTTGAAAACAGTAAACAAACTGCCCCCCTTCTGTATTAAATATTATTGCCCTATAAAATGCTGTGATATTATCTGAAACCCCATCAGTAGCCAGTACTTACCGCACTCCCTCTGGTCTCTTGTTTTGGGTTTGGCTGAAAGGACAACCATCTTCTCCACAGGGCCAGGCTTTATCCCCTATTAAAATATGGTCAAAATAAATATAATATATAAAGTTACATAAAAAAATTGTGACGATTGGACTCACCATAGCTCTCGGCTTATGCCGCTGTTGTTCACCTTCAGTGCAGCTTAACACTGGGGGAACAACTTGGACTTTCAACTGCGAATAGTGTGCAGATTGAAAGAGAAGAGCAACACGGTGGTTGCATAAAGCTTTTCCAGCCTTACACGTGCAGGCGAAGTCCAGCAGTTGCACAGGCTGTGAATCTTTCAGTACCACCTACAAAGTACAATATTTCAATGTATTTAATTTAAATATTGAATATTACTAGAAATATAATCAATTTCTAAGGATAGCATGTTTGTCAAATGCACTGATTTCTGAGCACGTCCCTGATATGACAGCCTGACATGATCCTAGCAACATCCTTTAATTTGCATCCAACCTTTTCGTTATACACACTGAACACAACAATTTCACGCTGCCTCTTTTTAAGATCTTACGCTGAGTTTGTGAGCTTTCTCTGTCTTCTTCATGGACCTGAAGCATTCTGCCCTGACCACCACCTCTCCAGTGCCCTGATCGTTGTCAGACGCTGCAGAAAAACAACAATTTTACTAAAGCTAGTAACAGAATGGCGTTAGTTGGTAAGTTATAGGCGCAGGAACTGTAATACAAAGATAATATATACAGACACTTGAAGCAGATATTTTCATGAAAAAAAAAATCAAATGATCAATTTTTACGTTTGAAGAGTGATCGATTTGTTGTTTACATCACTCAACACACAAGCAGAAATGCATTACAAAATGAGAAGACACGTCGTCTACATTTAGGAGCACATCTCTGTATAGTGACAGTTATGCCTTAAACAGGCATTCAAACTACGGAGAACGTTAGTCAACAGCCAGATGTTCCCCTGCTACACTCAGATGAGCTAATCCTAACCAAACACCCACACAGCACATCAACAAACTGTGAAAAAAAGCCAAAAGATAAAAATAAATAAATGACTGTTTCGGTGTTAAGGGTCTCTATATATTAGTATTTATGAAGGATATGTTGTTGTGACTGTGAAAGACAGAAGACGGGAGTTGCCGGATTCTGAGGGTGTGGTGATTGGACGCCGGCTGGTCCCTGTTACGGGTAATGAGGCCGGAGAGAACAAAAGGGTGGCAGATCTACCAAGGTGGTGTATCTGTGTGGTCGACCTGTCATTGTGGCACCCGATCCTGGGGGTTGGGATCGTTCGCAGTCGTTTAGGACTGCCGGCGATGAAGACAGTTGAGCAGGTGGCAGTGCTCCAGTGATAGGAGGGAAGGCTTGACGCCTTCTTTAGGTAGCAAGGGCTGGGAGTAGTGTGGTGCCGAGACCACGCCGACATCTGCCGCCACAGACTCTGGCAGCCGGACCTAAGTTGTGGATTTACCCACCGTCCTCGCAAGCTGAGCCCCGGGGCGTTGGACGGTGTCAATCAATCAATCAAAGCTTTATTTATAAAGCGCCTTCCGCAACCCTGTCAGGAAGCCCAAGGCGCTGAACATGGTACAGTAGAAGGTAAATATATTGAATAAATCAAAAATAAAAGCAATTCAAATTACAAAATACAAATTACAAAAAAGGTGAAACATTCTGGTACAGGACAAATGTGTAAAACAATGGATAGAGTGAACCAATGAAAACTGTGAGATAAATTCAACATAAAAGAGAGCCAAAATCAAACATGTTCAGGAAACGCCAAGCGGAGGAGGTGTGTTTTTAGGTGACTCTTAAAGACTGGCAGAGATGGGGACAGCCTAACTGAGGGTGGCAACTGGTTCCATAGTGACGGTGCTAGGACTGAGAAAGCCCGGTCCCCGCGAGTACGACACCTAGAACGAGGGACAGCGAGCAGGCCTTGGTCAGAGGAGCGTGTGATGGGGAGTGTCTGTTCAGGAGTGTGACTAGATAGGGGGGACCACCACCCTGGAAGAAATCATAAACAAAGACGAGGATTTTGAATTGTGAGCGATAGCAAACCGGAAGCCAGTGCAGGGAGGCCAGAACCGGACTGATGTGGTCCCGTTTCCTGGTCCCAGTCAGGAACCTGGCTGCGCTGTTCTGCACAACCTGTAAGCGACGCAGTGATGACTGACACAACCCTGCATAGACAGAGTTGCAGTAATCAAGCCTAGAAATAACAAAGGCATGCAGTACCCGCTCCAGGTGTCGGAAGCTCAGACCCTAGGGAGGGGGTCGCCTCAACTGGGACAGCTAAGTACCGCTGCTTGTTTTGATATATGCTGATCAGCTGGCTTTTAGCGTGAACGACTAGTGTTCTATTGTGGATCATGATTGTTTATTGCCGGTGTGAATAAAGGCTCGATTGGATAAGTTGTTGCCTACTGGTGCTGTTTTCGGGTTCTGGCTGGAGGGCAAGATATTCTGCCCGTGCTCCCACTGAAACTTATATTACATGACTTACCTTCGAAATTATACAAATACTGGCAGATGTAAAATTTGAATCCTTTCCCTCTTTTGCTCTGAGGCGCGGGGGAAAAAGATCAACAAGTCGATGAACATCATCTACAGATATATTCGGCAAATGCCCGAGACATCTTGAGAAGTTTAAATCGCCGCTTAATTCAGCCATTTGGCTGACTTCTGATGGAAAACCCGACCGTAAATCCTAGCGTAAACATGCAGCGGTCATCGCGGCTCACAACGGAAGCATAATACTCTACAGGAGTTTTTGCCCCGGAAGTAGCATATGCTAAGACGCACAGAGTCTAGTGAGCCGCACCTACAATTGAAGTGCGCGTTTATACGGTAGTTTACGGTAACACCGTCTCACTGCTGGAGAAGAGCTGAGATGAGCGACAGAATGGGCTGACATCAGGATGACACAGAGCAGCTAAATGTGCCTTTTTGATAAAGGATAGAATTGTGTTTTTAAAAAAGGACACTAAGCATCCTATACATACATACTAAGTACCTCAAGTACTACCTGGTATCAAAGTATGAACTACTTTTATTGTGTACTCTTTCAGTAATTGTACCTCAAAGTGTCCAAAAAGCTAACGTGCCGTGTTTGAGAGAGGATAAAATGATATTTGGGAAAAATGACACTAGGTCACCTATACATACATACTAAGTACCACGAGTACTACCTGGTACCAAAGTATGAATTAATTTTACTGTGTACTTTTTCAGTAATTGTACTTCAAATTTTGTACAAAAAGCCAAAAGTGCCATGTTTGAGATAGGATAAAAGGGCTTTTTGGAAAAAGGACACTAGGCCACCTATACACACATACTGTACTAAGTACCTCGAGTACTACCTGATACCAAAGTATGAACTACTTTTACTATGTACTTTTTCAGTAATTGTACTACGAAGTACGTACAAAAAAGCTAACGTGCCGTGTTTGAGATAGGATAAAATGAGATTTGGAAAAAAGGACACTACGACATCTGGAGACTCATTCCAACTACCTAGTACTATAGTATTCTACCAGGTGGTACTATTTTTACTTTTATTGATCCTTTTACCTGTTATTGTAATTCAAACTAAGTAAAAAAAAGTCATTTTTTTGAGATACAAAGAAAAAGTTTTTCAAAAACGATAAATGTTTCTTGACTAAATTCTGGACAATTCATTCATGAATGCAAACTTCTATCTAAAAGCCAGTGTGGGTATCTGACTCTGAGATTTGATGTCAGATTTGAATTCTAAGGAAAATGTCAGAATTGTTTTTGTTATTTCCCGTGGCCTTAATCCACTTCATATCTATTACTGAGGAAAAACAGCAGTTTTCCACACTACTATATTTGTCTTCTACGGGGTCACTAGGGTTTCTTCATCACTTCACCATAGGTTATAAAATGTAAGTCGCTTTGGGTAAAAGCGTCTGCCAAATAAATAAAATAAATAAACTTCAGATTTTTGTTGTTCCTCATGAGGAAATCTGGTGGACCAGCTGTCTGGTTCTGGTACCAAACCAGGACAGCATGATGCGCAACATTTACAGATGGAGAATGGTAAATGGCCCTTCTAGGGTTCTACAACCCCCCAAGGCGCTTTACAACACAGTCATTCGCACCCTGGTGTTGATGAGCTACGATGTAGCCACAGCTGCCCTGGGGCGCACGGACAGAGGCGCCACTGGTCCCTCCGGCCCCCACCAGCAGGCATGGCGGGTTAAGCATCTTGCCCAAGGACACAACAGCAGCATTCTCTGGTTGGAGCCGGGATCGAACCTGCGACCTTCTGATTACTGGACAGTTCTGCTGCTGTCCATCCATTCTCGGATGGAGAAGAAAATTCCTGAGAACCAGAGTAGCTGACCATGGTCCGCGATGTGCCCCGTCCCTCAGATGGTCATTTACTAAACCTGTAATCTACTCGTAGAGTTGACCCGTGTCGAGGCTTTTCACACGATTATTGTTCATAACGGTAAATCAAGTCATGATGATGATGGCTTCTTTTCCAGCTGATGATGCAGGGTTTGAAACCGACGTTTATAACAACTCCGTGGTGCACACGCCCCACCTGAGCTCTCTGGCTCGGCGCAGCGTCGTGTTCAGCAACGCCTTTGCGTCTGTCAGCAGCTGCTCCCCGAGCCGCTCGGCCATCCTCAGCGGCCTGCCGCAGGTAAGGCCTTGTCCCGTCACATGGTGCTGTTTGGCTGTGGGGGGGACTGAAGCGTGTTTCTGCTGTTCGCAGCATCAGAACGGCATGTACGGCCTTCATCAGGGGGTTCATAACTTCAACTCCTTTGAGGGGATCCAAAGTCTGCCGCTGCTTCTCAGCAAGGCGAATATCCGCACAGGTAAGGCAAACACACCTGTCACCGGCTTTTCTGGGATGTTTCTGAGTATCTTTGTGATTTCTACAGGTATAATCGGGAAGAAGCATGTTGGTCCTGGATCTGTTTACCCCTTTGATTTTGCGTACACCGAGGAAAATAATTCGGTTCTGCAGGTAGGGAGGAACATCACCAGAATCAAACTCCTGGTTCGCAGGTTTTTCCAGACTCACAAAGAGGAAGCTTGTAAACGAAGGCAAGAGAAAGAAGAAAGAAACGGCATTAATGACAACGTGGGAGAGGAGGAAAGGCCGTTTTTCCTCTACGTGGCCTTTCATGACACCCACCGCTGTGGCCACTCACAGCCTCAGTACGGGGCGTTTTGTGAGAAGTTTGGGAATGGAGAAGCTGGAATGGGTAGAATTCCTGACTGGAAACCAGTTTATTACAGAGCAGATCAGGTGAAGGTCAGTGATGAAATGTTTTCTCGTGTTTAATAAAGTTATGAAAACTTGAATTTACCCACATGTTGATGGGGGCCTGTCCTGCTCAGGTTCCTGCTTTTGTTCCCGACACTCCGGCAGCGCGAGCAGACCTGGCTGCACAGTACACCGCGGTCAGCCGACTGGATCAGGGTGTGTAGCAGAACCGGCTCAGAAACACAACCTGAAGGGGAGCAAACTGTGAACATGCAAATCTCCATTGCAGGCATTGGACTGGTCCTCCAGGAGCTCAGCGACGCCGGTTATGAGAACAACACCCTGG